AAAGTAAAATTTGCTTCCTCTGCTAAAGATTTCTTCACTTTATTTGAAATCTATGCTTGGCTGTTTTCCTTGAGAGTAGCTTCTTTTAATCACAGAAGAGCAAGTGGTTTAAATTTTGCTTTTTACAACAAAAATAATTCCTAGACTTGGTGAAAACAATGATTGTTCCCAGAAGGGTGGGAGGAATGACCAGGGGTTTTTTAGGGTGAAGGAATTTTGCTGATGGGAGTGGAGCTAATCCCTTGACTTTTATCAGATTACAGAGGAATTAATGTATGATTCTATGAAAAAACACTGTAACAGTCACTGTTCTCCCGTTGTTCATCGATTTGCTCGAGCGGGCCCAGTAGTGTCTCCACTGTGACATTTGTTACTGTGTTTGGAATATTGAATACATATTGGGTAGCTTGCCAGGCTTTGCTGTGCGGGCGAAATACCCTCAGTAGATTGCTGGGCTCTCTGAGAGGGGCGGAGGAATCGAACCTGGGTCGGCCAGGTTGGCAGTGTGCAAGGCAAATGCCCTACCCTTTGTGCTATATCAATGAAAAATAGACACATTTTGTTTTAAACTCTGAGAATGTGTTTTCTCAACCATGATGACAATGAAGAGTTGGTTTAAAGGTCATCTCAAAATGACCCTTGAGGGGCTGGAGCAATAGCACAGCAGGTAGGGTGTTTGCCTTGCGAGGCCGATCCGACCCGACCTGGGTTCGATTCCCAGCATCCCATATGGTCCTCCGAGTAATTCCTGAATGCAGAGCCAGGATTAACCCCTGTGTAATGCTGATGTGACCCAAAAAGAAAAAAAAATAACCCTTGAAAGAGAAGCAGGAAACATTTCTTTATAAAACTACAGAAGTAATTTGGAGAGGTTTTGTTGCCCATGCCTGGGTGCGAAAGGACACACCCTGTGTCCTGTTCAGGCAACACCCCCTTGAAGGCCACACTTGCGCCCATAAGCTCAGCTCCAGATGTGGGCAATGTGCCTAACCAAAGACACTTTGGAATCTGGTATCAATTTATGAATCCAGTTTTTCGTCCATCAACTTTCAAGTAGTTGCGATGGCTTTCCCAGGAGAATGTCAGCATATGTTTGAGATTTGGAGAGAGGGGATGGTCTTTTTGGAAAGAGATGAGAAAAGGCAGAAGAATGTATTAAAATCTTATTCTAGGTCCAGGATCACCCACTGATTTGGGAATCTCATCCAAGCACAAATTCATTTTACCATCTGAGTTTGAAAAATAAGAGAATATCTGTTCAGATTTCCCGTGTGAACATTTCTACTTTGGAACAAGATGTCTCAAGGGAAGACCCTGACCCATAGCTAGATGGAGACTTTCGCTCAACTTGTACATCAGGAAACTCCTGTGCTCATCAGCCCAGACACAGAACTTCTTTTCTAGAAGTTTGTTGAAACTTGGGGCCGTAAGTTAAATGATGAATTTTAAAAATCTCTTTTTGTGAAGTCATATTTGCAAAGATCAGTAACTTGTGTTATATATAAGGTTTTTAAATATTTAAAATTCTAGATTTGCCCTAAGTTTAGAAAATCTAAACACATATGACAGCTCCTCCCTCGCTCTCATTTTTCTTTCTTGTTTTTACTGAAACTCTTGGGTAAAACAAAATATTTGTTCTGAAGAATACCATTTTAATGAAAATATCCTAGCTAATGAAAGACACTTTTCACACAAGGACCCCAGTAATATTTTGTGATATATAAAGTGAGATGAACTTTCAAAAGTGAAAAATCAGAGTTCTAGGACACTAGAAAGAAATAGATCCTGATTTTTTTCCCACCCTGGAGAAGGCCATGTTCTCTCTCAATTACATAGTCCTCTTTTTCTCTCCTCCTTCATTTCTCTAAGTAAATTTATTTCAATAAAAGTGTATATGCACATATATGCACATATATATGCAAAGAAATAGATCCTAGATGTCTCTATATCCCAATGTCCTAATGGTGTCTCTTCAATCCTCTCTACGAAATAAAGTCCTGTAGAACTTCAGTACCTCTAAAATGACTGTTTGCTTTGCTTGTTTTGAGAAGCTACACCAGGCTGGTACCCATGATCTCATGTTAAGGGGGTGTCACAAAATGCTTTCATGCAAACATCAGCTCTGACAGTGATCCTAATACTTGCACATTCACTGAAGCACGTATAGAGCAATCTTAAACCTTAGGCTCAGTGGAAAATCTGCATCTTTTTTCCTGTTGTTCTGGGGTTCTGGAGGAAAAACAATATTCCTTCTCAGTGAACATACTCGGTGTTTGATCTCTAATTCTACACAGAGTGGATCAACGTTCAATTTTCTAACTTTTCTATACAGTACCCTGAACTCTATGTCTGTATTCTATGAGCAGTAATGGAAAAAAATGGTCCATTTTATCAAACATTCCAAAAAAGTGAGTTTGTTTCTAGGTCTGTAGTTATTTACTTGAGTATCTATGGAAAAATCTTGTTTTCCTCGACTTTTCTTGGCACAGACCTAAAGCTTTATTACTACACAAGCTATTCATTCAGTGAGCTAATGCTTTGGGACTATGCAGTGCCAAGATTTAATCCCAAATTTCCTACAGAAAAAACATGTGCACCAGCTTTTTCTCCTCAGCCCAACCAGTTGTTGTTTTGTGTGCTTTTCTTTTTTTTTTTTTTTTAGTTTTCTGGGTCACACCCGGAGATGCACAGGAGTTATTCCTGGCTCTGCACTCAGCAATTACTCCAGGCAGTGCTCAGGGGACCATATGGGATGCTGGGAATCAAACCCGGGTCAGCCACGTGCAAGGCAAACGCCCTACCCGCTATACTATCGCTCCAGCCCATTTTGTGTGTTTCAATGGGTGGCAACATGAGCTTAAAAACACATACTATTACTAAAAGTAAGACCATCTTGGTTCAAATTTGTATTCTGGCTCCATTATCCACTAACTCGGTGACTTTGAATATATTACTTATTCTCCTAATGTAGAAAGGGGGTAAAATGATAGTGTGTCATACAATCATTTGGTTAAGTATTAGCACAGTGATTTAGAGAGAGAATAAACGATAGCTATAAAATGGTGTATGTATAAATGGGCAGGGGAGGAGACAATGATTCCAGAAGGATATACAGGACATTTGGTAAACTCTCAGAAAGTGACCATTTAAACACCATTTATATAGAAGAATCCAGACAGATATTGTGCTTTCTATAGTATCTGTGTTGTCTTCAGAGTACTCATGGTAGGTGGTTTCATTCAAATCAAGTATCTTAGAATTGATCAGGACCCACCACCCGGACCAGGCTTCCCTCCATCGCTGTTTCTCTCTGTAAAATGCAGAGGCTATTCCAGCAGAAGTAGGTGCTCATGGCAAATTGGCTAAACTGAGAAATCTTCAAATCCAGTAGGTCTAGTAGCACAAATACAAATACATCACAGACTTTGAAAGTGAACAAGGATGCTAGTTGAGTGTGAGTGTGTGTGTGTGTGTGTGTGTGAGAGAGAGAGAGAGAGAGAGAGAGAGAGAGACCAGAGACAGAGACAGACAGACAGACACACAAACACACACACAGAATTAGCATTTCAGGTAAAATAACGACATCCTTGGAACCACAGTTACATCTCACAAGCATTAGTATGAAGTCTTCTTTCAGACCTAAGTCTACTTTCTATACAGGTCGAATGTTCGCCAAAGATAGTAATTGGTGGATAGACTTCTGGGTGAAAAAAAGCACAAGGCATTGGAGTTCTTTCTCACAGCGACTTATGAATAGAATCGCTACATGTGACCAGAATCCTTTCTTAAACTAACAACAGTGGCTAAAACTACACTTCACATGACTCACTTTAACCTAAAGCTGGAAGATTCCTCGATGAAGTTAGACTGTCAGGTCACATGTATTGTTTTCCATGATTTTTTTTTTGCTTTTGCTTTTTGGGTCACACCCAGCGATGCTCAGGGGTTCCTCCTGGCTCCTGCACTCAGGAATTGCTCCTGGCGGTGCTTGGGGGACCATATGTGATGCTGGGAATCGAACCTGTGTCGGCCATGCTGGCTGCGTGCAAGGCAAATGCCCCACCCGCTGTGCTATTGCTCCAGCCCCTGTTTTCCATGATCTTCTGAGTCTGGGTGGAACAAGTCTGAAACTGAGGCAAGTAAGAAACATATGTCTTTCGGCTGGAAGTTCCTAAGTGGCAGTTATTATCTACAAGGTGAGTGCAGTTGTCCTGGAGAAGCCTGAGGATAGTTAATAAATAGCGGGCCGGGATAGGGCACAGCACCCGCGACTCATTGGTTAAAAGCACGCCATTCTCTCTCCTTTTGATGGAAGTGACCCCTAAATAATAGATGGATCTTTCATTATAGTTTTCTTTCAGAAAATTCCCCTCAACTTTCAGAAGTTCATCCAGTCCTTCTGAGAAGGTCAGGGGAGGTGAATTAATATTGGCTCGCTGATCTGACACTATGAAAAACCCCCGTGTTTCAATCTCCCAGGAGCAACTAGAGAAACAGTCCTTGGACAGGGAGATTTTACTACAGAAGCAAGTGCTGACTAAGCTACGGATAAGTCCCTGTTCTTCCTCAGTATCACCCAGTTTGTAGCTGCTGATGATGGTGGCATACTTAACAGAGGGCGATCTCCTATTTTCTTCCTCGCTGTTTATGTCGGAACCCTCAGCCTCAGAAAAGATAGCCCTGATACCTGGGTTACTAATACACACAGAGCCATTTTCAAGACCCAGAGTTGTCAAAAATTGAGGGACCATAGTTGTGAGTGCCATCTCTTCTTTATATGTCCGCGAGGTATCGATGCGGATATCATCTGAAATGACTTCAGGCTCCAAAAGGAGAGGTTCAAAAGTCCCTGACTTTGTATGCTTGATAAAAAGATGTTCAAACGTTTCTGGCTAAAAGAAAAGATACATTTTAATGCTCAGTGGTACTTACTAGACACACATATATATATATAATATTTGTGTTGTTATCTGTTCTATTATGACATGCTTGTATCCGACATGGAACATGAAAGGATGAATGTATGAAAGGTTGGTACTCAAGGACAGAAGTTGACCACAAATTTAGTTTATTTATATATCAATGTGTTGACATATATGAACACATATATCACTGTCACGGTCCTCCCGCTGTTTCATCGACTTGCTCAAGCGGGCCAGTAACATTGTAAGACTTGTTACTGTTTTTGGCATATCGAATACCATGCGGGCTAGATACTCTATCTAGCAAGATACTCTCAGTAGCGTGCTGGGCTCTCAAGAGGGGCGGAGGAATCGAACACGGGTCGGCTGCGTTCAAGGCAAACGCCCTACCCGCTATGCTATCGCTCTCTCCGAGAGGGGCAGAGGAATCGAACTTGGGTCAGCTGCGTTCAAGGCAAACGCCCTACCCACTCTGCTATCGCTCTAGCCCATGTATCAGAAATTAAAATGGAATAGCTGAATAAGATCGTGTTTTGAAAGAAAGATGTCATGGGCTTAGGTTTGAGTTCTGTTTTCGTGACCTCACACAAGCATGTTCACCTCTGCTTGTGCTTTTTCGAAAGCGATAGCACAGCGGTAAGGCGTTTGCTTTGCACGCAGCAGGGTTCCATTCCTCCACCCCTCTCGGAGAGCCCAGCACGCTACGGAGAGTATCTCGCCCGCGCGGCAAAGCATGGCAAGCTGCCCGTGACGTATTCAATATGCCAAACACAGTAACAACAAGCCTCACAATGAAGACGTCACTGGGCCCACTCGATGAACAATGGGAGGACAGTGCTACAGTGCTACGGTGCTCTACACTCACTGCATGATACTGCACTGAGAAATCCGACAGACAGTCTCTGAATGCTTCTCATTAAGCTTGTGGGGTGGGCTGGAGCGATAGCACAGCGGTAGGGCGTTCGCCTTACAAGCGGCCAACATGGCCGAGCGGAGTTCGATTCCTCTGCCCCTCTCGGAGAGCCCGGCAAGCTACCAAGAGTATCTCGCCCGCACGGCAGAGCCTGGCAAGCTCCCCGTGACGTATTCGATATGCCAGACACAGTAACAACAAAGTCTCCAATGGAGACGTTACTGGGCCCGCTCGAGCAAGCTTGTGGGGAGTCGGGGTTGGGGCTTAAATGGCAGAATATTCGTCTTACACACGGCAGTATCTGGGCTCAATTCTGAGCACTTCCACAAGGAAGGCAGCAACAACCAATCTTGCGAAAAATAGGTGATTGTGAAGTTATCTTCTGACAAGTTCTTAATCATTTATGGCATATTAGATTTTAGCACAGTGGGTAGGGTGTTTGCCTTGTGTGCGGCCAAAATGGCCGACCCGAGTTCGATTCCTCCGCCCCTCGCGGAGAGCCCGGCAAGCTACCGAGAGTATCTCGAGTATCTCGCCTGCACGGCAAAGCCCGGCAAGCTCCCTGTGATGTATTCGATATGCTAAACACAGTAACAATTGTCACAATGGAGACGTTACCGGGGGCCCCCTCGAGCAAATCGATGAACAATGGGAGGACAGTGACAGGGACAGGGACGATTGGAGATTGCCCCCAAAGCCCCCATCTCCCTCCCCACCCCACCAGAGCCCGGCAAGCTAACCTGCACGGCAAAGCCTGGCAAGCTCCCTGTGATGTATTTGATATGCTAAACACAGTAACAACTGTCACAATGGAGACGTTACTGGGCCACCTCGAGCAAATCGATGAACAACGGGAGGACAGGGACAGGGACAGGGACGATTGGAGATTGCCCCCAAAGTCCCCATCTCCCTCCCCGCCCCGCCAGAGCCTGGCAAGCTACTGAGGGTATCCAGCCCGCACGGCAGAGCCTGGCAAGTTCCCCATGGCGTACCAAATGTGCCAAAAACGGTAGCAAAAATGGGTCTCATTTCCCTAACCCTGAAGGAGTCTTCAGCTGAGTTGGGAAGAAAGAGAGGGCTTGTTCTAAGCAGATGGCGTGCAAGTCAACGGGAGGGAAGGCGCCCCGCAAGCAGCTGGCCACCAGGGCGGCCGGCAAGAGCACGCCAGCCATGGGCAGCGCGAAGAAGTCGCACCGCTACTGGCCCGACACTGTGGCACTGCGTGAGATCCGCCGCTACCAGGAGTCCACCGAGCTGCGCATCCGCAAGCTGCAGTTCCAGCAGCTGGTGCGCGAGATTGTGCAGGACTTCAAGACCGACCTGCACTCCCAGAGCTCGGCCGCCAAGGCACTGGGGGAGGCGTGCGAGGCCTACCAAGTGGGGCTCTTTGAGGACACCAATCTCAGCACCTTCCCTGCCATTATGCCCAAGGACACCCAACTGTCATGCCGCATCCGCGGAGAGTGAGCATAAAGTTTATGATGCTAAAATCTCAGGGCTGGGACAAATGGAGACGCTACTGGTTCCCGCTAGAGTAAATCGCCGAGTAAATCGACAAGGAAATTGACAGGGAAATGGGCAATCGAGTCAATCGACAGGGATTTTCATACACGTATTTTAAACGCAAAAAAGAGAACGAAAGTAAAACGCGTCATCATTTGCTACCTAAAATGACAATCCACGACATCTACCATGATACGACGGTGAAAGACCGTTGGGGGACTGTCAAGAACGCATCTGCCCGAGGGGCACCTGCGAATGTTTGCGGCGTGTAAGTGTGGAGCGCCTAAGTGTGGCGTGCCCGGTCACTTTAAATCTCCGCCCTTGGACCCGGTCACCAATCAGAAAGTAGAGTAGGATGGCGGGATGGGATAAGGCTGCAGATAAAAGGAGACCCCTAGCGTCAGCTCGTTCCGTTTTTCGGACCACGCGTTCCATGGACCGCTTCTCTCTCTGGGACCGCCACGTCAAGAGCAGCGCAGCGACTGGACGACTGGACGTGGCGATCGTTAGACTGCATGGGCCTGGACAGTCGTTCAGGGGGCCAGACAGTATCAGGGACACACAGGACCAGGGACCACGCTAACGGGAGGTAAGTAGATGGTATCGGGGACAGGACCGGGCTACCCGGTCATCGCTCACGGGGGGCGAGTGACTGCATGGGACAAACCCTATTATTGCTCACGGGGGGCGAGACCGCATGGGACGGGAGGGACCCCATTATCGCTACGGGGGGGGGGCGAGGAGACTGGATGGGACGGGACAGAAAAGTTCGCGGGACGGGGCAGCCTCAGGGACAGGACATGGTCATCGTTCACGGGTAAAGGAGAAGTCTGGACGTCTGGGGCGGGACCTGGAACTATCTACCTTTTCTGTACAATAAACTAAAACTCAATCTTTTTGAGTTTTCTATGCAAATCCTCTCATACAATTCTCAAGAAAATCCACCAGCGCAGGAAAATGCGCTTTTGCTCTAACAGCGGGAAACAAAAATTAATACTTCTTTGTTGAGAACAGTGAGGATGAGATGGACACAGACTTTAAAGGGACTATTCTTATCAATATTTTCATATATATAAAAATGCATGCTATGAGACATATGGAATGAAGACAACACACAAAACAAATGCACATCATATGCTTTATAAGAACGGGGTTACATTGCAACAGAAAAATCTTGTCAGGCAGCTGCAAATCAAGAATCTGTGCAAAAATAACCTCAAGACATACAATGTAAATGCAAAAATGAAAATACAACACATTAAAAGATTAAGGAATTATTAAATGAATTGCTAGACAATAGGTATTCAATTTGTCTATAATAACTGAACCTTTGAATTTTACCATCTTAAAACCAATGAACAATATCATATTTTTTGCTGAAATGATGACATACTCAACTGTTCTTCATGATGGCAAGCATAGTTCGTATAAAAACAATTCATTTAACAGTTTTGAAAAGTTAAGTAAAATATATTGGTGATTACAACCATAAAAGAAAAAATGTGCCAAACTCTAAGTATAATAATGGTTAGGCTTATATATGTATTAAAATGCTGTATAGTGAGAATTACTGTTCTAACACCACCTTTCTTTTTATTCTATAAACATAACTGATGGAGAGAAACCTACCCCGTATTTCTTTTCTTTCTGGAAGAAATACATAATTAGACTTGGGATTTTCGAAAATGTTTCCTTGTTTTTTTCTTAGGGTTTACTGTATGTGCTGAATTTCTTAAAATGTAAATGAATTTAGAAAGCAAGTTCTTTTTAAAAAAAAAAATGCACACAAATTGCCCATAGCATGCAGCATGCAGCGAGATTCATATATATTCTTCAAATGATGTATCTGGCATATTTCATGTCCTCTAAAACTTCCTAACTGATAACTAATTGATACCAAATAGTTTACTTGTTGTCAATGCCTTCATAGGGATGACTTGACAGGCAATTAGTAAGACATTAAGTAACCATATATTGCTGAAATATATTTTGTCAATGAATCATAAACCTTTGTTATGTGTTCACTAAAAATCATTTCCAGTTTCTATATGTATTTAATTTGGGGGAATTTTAGCATTATTGGTGCATACCTAATAATAACCACCTGGTAAGAATTAAAAACTATTCTCTCATAAACTCATGCTCCGATCTTATTACATTCCAAAGACATCTGATAGTCAATGCTCTTTCTATTTTACCTTTTTCCCATTCTAATAAAAGTATTAAAGAAATCTAAATATAAGTGGTCCATCTATAACATAGATGTGAATATGATCTGAGTTTATCAGTTTTGGTTTTTATTTAAATGTGAGAAACATATTTAGCATGCTAAGTTCCTAGAAATAGCAGGTGGTCTGTTTTCAGCAAAGAAAATCCTGTCCTCACCATGAACTATTTGAAAAAGCTCCCAAAAATATCTCTCTGTTTGCGTCACTGTCATTTCTCTGCATGCCAGAAGCTTTGGGTGGTTCCGTGTAAATAAATTAAGTCTTGGCAAGAATTTCACAAGGCAGCTGGATTGGAGGCTGATGTGTTTTCTCATCTGGTCAAATTGACCTGATTTTGCTGGACCATCTGATAAGAACTCTAAATTCCACTGGCTTGTGTCCAGCACAAACCACAACCTCAGGCATTTTTTAAGAACTGAAATGGAAGTTAGCACTTAGCAATATTCAAGGCTATTAAAATTTGTAGTTTCCAGATTGACCTAATTTAGATATACATAAGAGCTGTAAAACATTCCAAAGAATGCCTGAATGGGTCCTTTGGGAGGCTGAAATATCTGTAAAAGAATGAAAAATGCAAAACTTTGGACATAAAAACATATGCTGAAGACTTTTACTGCATTCTGAAAAGTGGCTGCATTTGCAAAGCTATGGCAGGGTTGCAGTTTTCTCTAATTACAACAGCCTACTATATATTGGAGGCTATCTAATATAGATGTGACAGTCATAATTTTTACTGCTTTTTGACCAGATAATAGTAACTCAAAAGCCAGGTATGATGAAAATTACTTTTTAAACTATAAACTGAAGAGGATTTGTACATCCGAACCAAATTGGACAAAACCTCTATCTGGACCCCGTATTTACCCATCTATTTTAATAACTCAACATATTCCACCATATTTTAGTTATCAATAGCTCAATTTTTTTTTTAGATTTCTCTCCCCATCTTCAAAATGTGAAAGTCTTCTAATACTTTATAGAATGTTTGGAAGTTGGTATACTGGGTTCATTTGCTGTGATCATGATTAGCCTTCAAGGAATGTCCGCTCTGTTTAGGTAAAATAAGAAAGCAAAATAAAAGTCATTTAGGAAGCAAAAGATAAAATACTGTCTGCCAGGCGTGGATTCTAGACCATAAATCCTTGTGTTATATTACAATGTTGCTTCATTCTAGGGAAGGGCAAAATTGAGAACTGTGGTGACCTCTTTCATTTTCTTACCACCTGCTACTCAGTTTCACCCTACGTGGGTAGTTTCAATTACCCCAGAAAAAGGAAAGTTACAGAAGTCAAAGGAGGAAGAACCAAGAGTAGAAAAAACAAAGAGGGGTTGTAGCAACAGCATTAGGGAGTCTGGAAGGAGAAGGCACGAGAAAAGAACTCTAGAAACGAAAATCAAAAGTCAAAAGAGATGGGTCATTTCGAATGTACTTCTGCACTTCCATGTTCATTGCTTCACTGTTCACAATAGCCAAAATCTGGAAAAAACCTGAGTGCCCGAAAACAGATGACTGGGTAAAGAAACTTTGGTACATATACACAGTGGAATACTACGCAGCTGTTAGAAAAGGTGAAGTCATGAAATTTACATACAAGTCGTACTACATGGAAAGTATCGTGCTAAGTGAAATGAGTCAGAAAGAGAGGGACAGACATAGAAAGATTGCATTCATCTGGGGTATATAAAGTAACAAAATAGGAGACTAAAACCCAAGAGACTAAAACGCAAGAATAGCTGAGGTTAAATAAATACCAGGATAAATACCAGGAGGTTCACTCCATGGCTTCGACGCCAGCCGCACAGGCTGGGGGAAAAGGCAGCTCAGACAGAGAAGGGAGCACCAAATAAAGGGTGTTGGGAGGATCCTCCCAGGATGAGAGATGCATGCTGAAAGTGGACTATAGACTGAACATGATTGCCACTCAATGCCTCTTCTGCAAACCACAGCACAAAAAAGGAGAGAGAAAACAAAAGAGAATGCCTTGCCACAGGGGTGGGGTTGGATGAGGGAGATGGGGGGGCGGAGTGGGAGGGATACTGGGAGCATTGGAGGTGGAGAATGGGCACTGGTGGAGGGATGGGTACTCGGTCATTGTATAACTGAAACCCAAGCACAAAAAATTTGTAAATCTATAACTGTACCTCATGGTGTTCGTTGATTGCCTCCAGCAGGCACCAGTAACGTCTCCTTCGTCCTAGCCCTGAGATTCTAAAAAGTGCTACATTCAAGGCTCTTTCAGGGTTAGGAGACCGAGACCCATCATTGTTACTGGTATTTAGCATATTGGGTACGCCATGGGGAGTTTGCCAGACTCTGCTGTGTGGGCAGGTTACATTCGGTAGCCTGCCAAGTTGTCCAAAGCAAGAATGAGATAATAAAATTTTCAAAAAAAAAAGAGATGGGACTGGAGCGACAGCACAGCGGGTAGGACATTTGCCTTGCACACGGCAGACCTGGGTTTGATTCTCAACATCCCATATGTCCCATAAGGCTCCCTGAGCACTGCCAGGAGTGATTCTTGAGTGCAGAGTCAGGAAGTAACCCCTGAGCATCGCTGGGTGTAACCCAAAAAGCAAAAAAAAAAAAAAAAGTCAAAAAAGAAACCTCGGGACCAGCATAGCTGTGTTGGCACGTGGTGGGGCGCTGGGCCTCACATGTGCTAAGCACATGTTCTTCATCCCGAGACTATCCTCAACACCCAAACAGGAATTTAATTAAAAAACAACCCTGGAACTGTCCTCTCTCTAAGATCCACATGTCCTCACATGACCCAAGCCCAATCCACAATCGCTCAAACCCATAAATCCTGCCCCTGAGCCCCAGGCCATGGGAATCATCCCTGTAACCAAGTACCCAGGGTTCGGGATAATCCCCTGCACAAAACAGTTTAGGTCTTAGAATACCAAGGGTTTGCAAGGAAAGCATGGTAGAAAAAGGTTCAAGTCTTCTAGGTGCCTGCTGGTTGGCCATGTGAAATAGCCCAGTCTCTGCTCATGGACCTATTGAATGCTGATGAATTTACTGTCCTTAATGTCAATGTAAAAATTGGCTCCCCTGTTGGGAGCCCAGTGGCGGGGGATGGGAGGTGTGCGGGGGCAGAAGAATATTGGCCTGTATGACCACTGATGGCTGCCCAGGCAACCCTAAGCTTGGACAGGCAATGTGTGCTTGTTTGTCTTTTCATTTGTTTCATTCCCTGAGACTAGACCCATGGCTGGCTGGAGGGTAAAGATCTGTTGCCAATTAGCCGATCTAATGCCAATCTGCCTGGCATGAGACACCAAGCTCCCTGTTCCTTTTTTTTTTTTTTAATTAAGGCCCTGTTATTTACAAAGTTGTTTATGACAGAATTTCAGGCATACAATGCTTCCACATTAATCCCACCACCAGTGTCAATTTCCAGTCTTAAATAGGAAAGAAAAACAAAGGCTTACCACTTCTATGGGAACTGAAAAGGAAGGGAAAAGTCCAAGATAAACAAGAGAAAAAATATGATCTTGGCAGGAAGAGAGTATTCAGGGAATAAAGGAAAAATAATTTAAAACAGAAAAAAAAAATAATGATCCCCTGCTGAGTATTTCTAGTAAAGTTTCTTTTTTTTCAAATTGCATGCATAAAGCCAAAAACAGAATAGTCTCTAAGAGAATTCTTGGAAGTTAAAAGTCCAGCAGAAACATAGCACTGTAGCACTGTCCTTCCATTGTTCGATTTGCTCGAGCGGGCACCAGTAATGTCTCTATTGTGGACTGTTGTTACTGCTTTTGGCATATCGAATATGCCACGGGGAGCTTACCAGGCTCTACAGTGCGGGCGGGATACTCTTGGTAGCTTCCCGGGCTCCGAGAGGAACAGAGGAATGGAACCCGGATCGGCCGCGTGTAAGGCAAACGCCCTACCTGCTGTGCTATCACTCCAGCCCAACAGATAGCACAGTGAGCTGGGCATTTGTCTTGCATGCAGCTGACCCGGGTTCGATTCCCAGCATCCCATAGGATCCCCCCTCCCCCTAGCACCGTCAGGAGTAATTCCTAAGTGCAGAGCCAGGAGTAACCCCTGTGCATCGGTGGGTATGACCCAAAAAGAAAAAAAAAACCACCCAGAAATATCACTCAAAAAAATAGGCTGTGATACATCCCAACTAAAACAAAACGGTGGCACGGGTAATACTCCTGGAGCATGGTGAATGTACAGAAACTTGCTGCATTTTTGGTAAAAAATGTGCTAAGCATCAGCTCCACAAAGTACACAGTACAAGAAGGACAAGGGTTCTCTGTACGTCCAGGGAAAGCAGCGTTTTGACAGGAAGCAGAGATCAGCCTAAGCCAATTTTCTGGGAAAAGAATAAAAGTACAAAGAAGATTGTGTTGGGACTTGAATGCACCAAGCCCAGCTGCAGATCTTTGAGAATTCAGGCCATTAAGGGATGCAAGTGTTTTGAACTGGCAGGAGATTGAAAAAGACAAAGGGACAAGGGCTAAGCTTCATCTATTATGAAGACAGAAATCCTGGGGGAACAATCAGTGTTTCAGGAGGGAAATTAAGGAGTATCATGAATAAACTTCCTGAGAGGAAATCTGCTTGTTTAAAAAAAAATTAGAAAAAAAAAAGGCACTGAGATCTGGACTGAACTGAGCTGACCAAGGGGCGCAGGAAGAGAGGAAAAAGTGGGAGAAAGGTTGAGGTGGAGGCACATTCTGGGGGGAGGTGTTGGAACACCGTACGCATGAAACCCTGTCACTAGCCAACTATAGTCTAAATCATGGAGCCTAAAATGTGAAAATTATAAGAATAAAAACAAAATGGCAAATAATGAGAATACAAGGAAGAGTCTTGATTGTACAAGCACCCATATTTATATATTCATACTAATGCAAATGTGTTTTACTGGTTGTCTATTTTTTTAATGCTTTGATATAATGTAAAACATGTTATCCACCCTGCCTTAAGTTTGAAGGGTGAAAAGGGTCAGAATGGTATCTGCTTATTTAAAAAAATGGGGTGCCAAAAGGGAGCTTAAGTGGCAGAGCACATGACTCAAATGCTCAAAGACCAGCATCTCGGTGTGTCCCCCTAATGGCTTCTAATCATCACTCATATTGGACTAAGAATGACCCCAAATGGCCCATAACCCCTAATGAGCACTGATGTACGGAATTTCTACTTTTTTTAACTTTTTAAATTAAAGAAGTTCTTAGGTAACATTTTAAACATCACACTGGACGTGCAGAAATTAGACATAGATTGCTTTCATGATGCATCTTTTAAAAATTTCAAATTTGGAATTTTCCAAACTACCTTAGAACTTTATATTCAAAATCATGATCTTTAAATAATACTGTATTTTAGTTGTTTACCTGTATTTATCTTTATGGGGGGGGGGCGCAGTTGTTGGGCTACAGTTGTGCTCAAGGGCTATTCCTGACTGTGCTTAGGGGGACCAGATGCAGTGCTAGAAATTCAACCAAAATCAGCAGCATGTAAGGCAAGTGACTGAGCCCCTATTCTACCTTCCCAGCTCCTAATAGTGTTTCAAGTCAACTAGCTCTCCTAATCTAGTTGCTTTATAGTCCAAAGTGGGGTTCGTGTTTGTAGCTTCCTCATGTTTGGGAATTAGCTATATCACCTTTTGCTCATCGTTCAACATCTGATGAACTTTTTAGGATAGTTTCTCATTTTGACTATGATGATTCAAGTTGCTATAAACATTCTTGTCCCAGTTTCATTTTCTTGTCTATATTTCTAGAGGTGAAGTTGTTGGATCCTATGAAAACGGGGGCTAGATATACTTTAAAGAATATATAAATAGTGGGGGCTGGAGAGAAAGATAATACAGCAGGTAGGGTGTTTTGCCTTGCCCGCAGTCGACCCAAATTCGATTCCCAGCATCCCATATGGTTCCCAGAGCACTGTCAGGAGTAATTCCTGATTGCAAAGCCAGGAGTAACCGCTGTGCATCACTGGGTGTAACCCCCAAAAAGCAAATATATATATCATCGTATTATAAAGAAAAAAAACATTATAGGTCTGAAAAAGCAAAAGACATTACCCACAGTGTGGGTATATTCAAAATTCTGCACACTTGTCTGATTTACTAGAACCTGGGACAATCTGGTGAGACTCTAGTCTCCTGGTAGAGACCATCAGAGAATCTGCTGGGGGCAGTAGCCCATCTTCAGAGACTGTGTGTGAGCTGGGAATGGGGGAGCAGAGAGCCTACAAACATTGACTGCTTCCCCCTCCATGGTCCTCCGTGTCAGGTGGCCCTGGGATCCAGGGAAAAGTCATCTGGTGCAGACTCTCACGGCATTGTAAGGAGGCTGACCACCAATCTGCCCTGGGGAATACTGGAGACCCTGGTCAGTGTGTGTTGGAGGGAACACTTCAGAGCTTAGCCCTCAATGAGACATTTCATCTCCCTTTAAACAAAAGTAAGGTGGTCATTTCCTGCATTAATATACAGTATTAATACAGTAATACAGTATTAATACAGTAGTATTCACATTGAAAAAGGTTCTTGGGGCTGGAGCGATAGCACAGCGGGTAGGGCCATTGCCTTGCACAAAGCTGACCCAGGTTCGATTCCCAGCATTCCATAAGGTCCTCCGAGAACCGCCAGGAATAATTCCTGAGTGCAGAGCCAGGAGTAACCCCTGTGCATTGCCAGGTGTAACGCAATAAGCAAAAAATAAAAAATAAAAAATAAAAATAAAAATTTTATTTTGATAGGCATTCATATTTTTAACCCAAAAAAAAGGAAACAAAACAAAATCCCCCCTCTTATATTAGAGAAACCCTTCCTGCTAAAAGGGAAAACTCCTTACTATTTATCTTCTTTTTGCCTTTATTTTCAGTTTTCCAGTGTGCTAAGGCCCTTTCTGTCACATGGCTTTTATATTTGCAGGTGGTTTGGCCTGGGGTCTACCTACCCTCCACCAAATCTAGTTAATGCCTTTACATCTAGATCTCAACTTGCCATATTTAACTGCTCACTTCCACCCCACTTGAAGCTCTTTGTATCTTTAAACATACAACCTGAAGTTTACATTATTAATACTATAAGTATATTATTATAAAATATGAATTTATATGTATTGCATAATACAAATGCTATTATTCACTCAATATTAATGTTATCATCCATTATAAAGTAATGAATGCTTATTTTCCCAGTAGTCTGTATTCTCTTGGACTCTGTGGTGTTCTGGTCATTTTATAACCCCAGGGCTTAGTTTAAGGCATCTAACAAAATAGGCTCTAAAAGAATGAATAGAACAGTTTTTTAATAAATATTCTGTAGACAGGTTCTTTCTATTCTGTTTTCAACTTGCCCTGGGGAGGTCTTGCCTCATACTGTTTGCTAGATATTAAAGAGAATATCTCAAGTTTTGGTTTCCCAAAGCCTAGCAACAGCTTAAGACTTCCATAGCACCGTAACTACAATAAACACCCCTGTATGAACCTAGAATGGATAAGAAAAGAATAAAACTTTACTACTGAAAAAAGTCAGTTTCTGTTTAAAGGAGTCTGCAAGACTCAAGTGAACAACGGTATGACTGAGAAGTGACAAGAATTCAAGTTAGAGGGCTATTTTTTGAAAAATTATTATAGATGCAAATACAAATTATTCTTTAGTGATACTATAAAAAGAATCAGACAGTAATATTATTGCTAAGTAGAAAATCACACATCTGTATAAAAATAAGTTGGGGCTGGTTAGAAACAGATGAAGGGAAGTTTCTAGAAAAACAACCAAAGAATGTAGAAAACACTTAGCTGCCTGATCTATCGGATATGGAAGTCACTCTACAGCTGAAAGATCACAATTTAATCTTGAGTCCTGTTATGTCTACGGGATTCATATTTGTTCATTCTTTCACTCATAACACTGGAAAGCAATGTTTTTTCAACTACTAATTAGCATGTAAAATCAATTTTGAGAGTTGTGACCTATACTTTTTTAAATGAAATATAATTTTGCTACAAATTATAGCATTGTTTTTCTGCAACTTTTGTTTCACATTTGGCTATCTATATTCATGTGCTAAGTTGCAGGGCAAAATTATTTCTCATTGTGTATTTTGTAGGTGGAAATCAACCTCGCTTTCAGGAAAACTATGAGAAATAATAAAGCACAAAGTGAACTTGAAGGTATATCTTTTTTAAAATTCTATTGTAGATGCCAAGTACAAATTACTCTTTAGTGATATAAAAAATTACATGGCAATCTTATTGCTAAGGAGGAAATTACACTTCTGTATAAAACAAGTTAAAAGAAAAATTTCATCTAAAGTAAAATTATTCATTATTTGCATAAAAGCAAATTTTAGTAAGATAATTTCATTTTTCATATTGCAGTATTGGAGGATAAGATTATGTAGTTTTTTAACTGATTTAAATAATGTGAAAACTGTTAGATTTTAAAAATTGGTTCTCAGCTTTTGTTTAAAGACTATCAGTGTGTACCCAAAAAGCCTATCTATATATCCATTCCTCATCAGATTTCACTCTTAATAGTTTAGGATTTATTTTAGTATAATAAAGATAGAAAATTATTTTAACACGAGATATGTATATTAAGTCACCATATGACAAACTTTTTTCTACCTGATTTCAAATCACTGAATCTTGCTATTCTTGAAAGTATATCAGATTAAATGGGGCGACGAAATGAACAGAAACTTTCTCAAAGAAGAAATCCGAATGGCAAAAAGGCTCTACATCATTAATCATCAGGGAGATGCAGATCAAGTGGTACTACATGGAAAGTATCATGCTAAACAAAATGAATCAGAGAGGGACAGACATAGAAAGATTGCATTCATCTGGGGAACATAAAGTAACAAAATAGGAGACTAACACCCAAGAATAGCCGAGATTAAGTACCAGGAGGTTTATTCCATGGCTTGGAGGCCAGCCGCACACGCTAGGGGAAAAGGCAGCTCAGATAGAGAAGGGAGCACCAAATAAAGGGTGTTGGGAGGATCCTCCCAGGATAGGAGATGCGTGCTGAGAGTAGACTATAGACCGAACATGATTGCCACTCAATGCCTCTTTGGAAACCCACAGCACCCAAAAGGAGAGAGAAAACAAAAGGGAATGCCCTGCCACAGAGTCGGGGGGAGGGGGGGTGCGTGGGGGGAGGATGAGGAGGGAGGGATACTGGGAGCATTCAAGGTGGAGAATGGACACTGGTGGAGGGATGGGTACTCGATCATTGTATAACTGAAACCCAAGCACAAAAATTTGTAAGTCTGCAACTGTACCTCATGGTGTTTCACTAGTAAAAATTACAAAAAAAAAGTATATCAGATTAAATAAAGTTGTGTAAATAAATCATTTTTAAATATTAAGTGCATAAAGCTTAGGAAATCTATGGCTTCCACAGTAAATTATTATTCCAAAAAGCAATCATATATTTTGTGGTTAAAAAAATTACATCCTGCCCTAGCCTGTGTTGCTTGTATCCACATGGCTGAGGACATGTGTTGCCTGCATCTCTCCTCTTGAGCTGTGTATTTCCCTCTTTTCATGTCTAATGCTGGGATGTGTGCAGTGCCTTTCTCCGCCTTTGGAGAAGCCCGTGTTCTCACTCTCTCTCACTTTCTCTCCCTCCATCCCTTTCCTAAAAGCCTCTAAATAAAATCTGTTTTACTTTTAAAAAAAATTAAAAAATGACCTTCTGAAAATTAATTCCTTGTGCCCAGGAACAATTCTTGGGATTTGGAACATCCTCCCAAAACAGCCTTTTCATTCTGCAAAAGAGAAACAAGACATCAGAATTAAAGAAAAATACAATGTTGAAAGTATTTGCAGTTAATGAAAGTTAAAAGTAGAAATTAATCCACCCGACCTAAGCAGGGTCAGATTCGTTTATAGGCTATCTTATGAATATTTTCACCAAGCTTAATAATCACTACAATAACAAAAATAGCCAATTTTTGAATTCATGTGCTAAGCACTGTGCTAGACACTTTTCATATGTTTTTCTTGGAGACAATAAAATATTAAAAATTGCAAGTGACCAACATTTAATTCTTGAACCCAGCCGTAGAAAGCAAATCACTTCACAATGCTTTTTCAGCATGTCTGATTTGGGGGGGGGGTAAACTCTAAATAATAGTGGTGAATCTTTTATTGAAACAGTGAATCTAATCAAAGCAGATAGAGTGTTAACTAGAATTCATCTGCTTCACAGGGACGGGGAGGGGTGGGGGGTGGGGTTTTATTGGGGTTCTTCATGGTAAAAAATAAGTATTGGTAAAGGGAAATGTGTTTGATATTTGCATGACTGAGACATAAACCTGAAAGCTTTGTAACCTTTCCCACAGTGATTCAATAAATAAATTAAAAAAAAAAAATTGCAAGTGAGTTTTTGAAATAATTTCACTTGATCTGGCCTCATGAGCTCATTGAACTGCAAGGTACAGTCTGATTCAAAAATCTCCTGTCTTCTTTTTTGCTACAAGACACAAATTTCTGGCAGGCATGAAATAACCTCATTGATCTAGACCTCTCGGCACGGAGGACATCACACCCACGGAATCGCTGAAAAAATTCAAGGCATTGCCAAGGCAGATGGGAGCCACGGCATGCAGATTCTCAAAGCACAGAGTGTTTAGGACAGGAGAGTGCTTGGAGCACAAGCTTTGGGGTGGAGCAACCCTCACAAAGTCCCCCAGCTCTGCCAGGTGTGGCTCCACAGGAAACAAAATTATTTCAGTTGTAATTAATAATTATTCTGTTCAGAATTATGCTAAGAAGAGCACTAGACAGTATATAAGGTAAAGGCCCTCCCGTTTATCGTCGATTTGCTCGAGCGGGCCCAGTAATGTCTCCATTGGAGACTTTGTTGTTACTGTGTCTGGCATATCGAATACTCTCGGTAGCTTGCCGGGCTCTCCGAGGGGCGGAGGAATCGAACTCGGGTCGGCCATGTTGGCCGCTTGTAAGGCGAACGCCCTACCCGCTGTGCTATCGCTCCAGCCAGTATAATAATGAGTAACACTGTAGCACTGCCCTTCCAATGTTCATCGATTTGCTCGAGCAGGAGTAACGTCTCCATTGTGAGACTTGCTGTTACTGTTTTTAGCATATCGAATATGCCACGGGGAACCTGCCAGGCTCTGCCGTGCAGGTGGGATAATCTTGGTAGCTTACCGGGCTCTCTGAGAGGGACGGAGGAATTGAACCCGGGTAGGCCGCATGCAAGGCAAACGCCCTACCCACTGTTTTAGGCCACCTCCAGGATAGGGTCTACTGTACTCAATGCTGGAGCTGGGGTGATGGGTCGCTCCCAATGGTGCTCTGGGGATCAAGCAATGTCAGTGACTGAACTCAGGGCATCAGCATGCAAAGCATGCACTCCAGTCCTTTAACTAACTCCCTGGTCCTATAAAAGCAGATTCTAATTTCTTCCATGAGGTTTATGATGCGTCAGCAAAATGAAACGTGGTTTCCTAAAAGTGAGCTTTTTCTTTTTATTCCACCTTAATTGAAACTTATTACAAACAACATACACTGAATACCTTATTTCTGGTTTGAGTTTTAAATCAAGGTATAAACATGCTTAAATATTCTTGGGGATTTTTTCTGAGCTATACCCAGCAGTGCTCACTGCCAGGAATCCTGGCTCTGCACCAGGAATCACTTCCTGATGGGGTCAGGAACCACATGGGTGCTGGGGATTGAACCTGGGTTGATGGCATGCAAGGCAAGCACCCTACCCACTGTATTATCATTCCAGCCCACAAATATGTCTAATATTCTTAAAACTAAGTACAATACCTTTGATGGGATATCAGTAATGTTCCAAGCAGTAAGACTGAAGAGGAAATAATTATTGGCACAATTATATATAGACCTGCATTATTCTGATGTTTTTCAGAGCCATCTGAAAGAAAAATACAATTTTTTTAATTCAGGAGATTAAGAAAATAAACTTTCTAGATAAAAACTGTAGCTTTTAAATTTCATTACAAATCTACTACCCCCAAGTATAAATTTTTAAAGGAAAATAGGAGTATAGTTGTAATTAATAATTATTCTGTTCAGAATTATGCTACTTGTAGCATAACGATTTGTATTTGCTGTTAAATTTTTATTTACTGTTAAATTTTTAGTGAATAGTCAACATACATTTGTTGAATAATTAATGAAATTTTATAATTATTTTCATGATAAGAACATCTCTTAATCTTCATTGATGTGCTTGTTCTTAGACAATTTGAAAAGTAACGGAAAATCAAGTTCACTATTCAAAAATTTGAGACCCAGTGAACTTATGTCTATAACTATTTTTCCAGTTTTATTTTCAGAGTAAAGAATCTTTCCTTTATACTACTCTAGCTAAAATTTTAACCTCATAAATTTATGCCTCCAAAATATAACTTGGCATAGATTAAAGAACTGCATACAAAATTAATAATTTTATAAATCAATTTTTATAATGGTATAAAAATACATTATTGGATAGCTGTGTATTTCCAACTGTTTACTCTCATCAACTTTTTACCCAAATTAACACTGAAAGTTTTCCTTACATGAGAATTCAGCAAACATTATATTGATGCGTTCAACTTATTACTACCATACGGGACTACATGCCCTTACTGCAATCACCCCATGACCATGACATTAAACTTTGAATGAGACTCAGAACTCAAAAAGAGAACAATCAGTTGGTAAATCACTGCTAAGGAGAAAGCCACACATCTTTATAAAGAAGAAACTCAAAGTGAAAAACTTTACCTTGGGTGAAACTATCAATTATCTTTGGTTTCCCCACTCCTTCCACAAATACTGGGTAAAGACCGAACTGGTATTTCTCAATGGGAATAAAATGATCTGAGAAGAAAAAAATATTAAAGGTCATTCCTACTGAACTCATACTAATGAGTAAAATATTTGCAAATTCTTCATTGAGTAATTCTTCTATATTTCAAAAATCTACTTTTATTCATGGAATGAAAATAATGATTAAGGAAGTTAAAAAACACAAATAACAGAAGCACCACATGTCTCCCTTGTAATAAAAATAATTCTCCAAAGAAAACTTTAAAATCTTACTCAGAGAAAGAAGATTCTAATTTTTCAAAAGTATGTTCCAATGATAACCAACTCATTGGGTTGCAGGTGTATGAGTTTTCTTATTTCTCTATTCAGAACGTTACACTTTATTACCTCCTCTTCAAGAAAGTAAATACCCCAGAGATATCAGTAATCCGTTTTCATAGGAATTTAGCTTACTACTTTGCTTTCTTAATTAAGGCAACAGGGATAAGAAAGTTTTGTAAACTCTTTTCATTTTAACACTGAATGCTTCCAAATTTGCGCATCATCCTTGCTCAGGGGCCATATTAATCTTCTCTGTATAATTCCAATTTTAGTCTACGTGCTGCCAAAGTGAGCACAAGTCTTTTAAACTTTAACGCAAAAGAAGATGGTAGTGGCAACCAGTCGCCTAGCATTTTCTGGGGAATCTCAATCAGAAATGCAACTATTTCCACAGCAAAGTTCAAGATGAATTTATCAGAGCACGATAATTTTTATTCATCCCAATGCTAATTTATAAATATTATCCCACAAGAAAGAAATCTCTCTGTAGCCTAAATTCTTTACCTGGTTCAAACACGTGCCAAGGAGTAACTATTCCACCTCTATAACAATTATATTACCTTAGTTCTCAATCAGTAATTTGTTTTGACCGACTCAGATGGAAATTTCAAGGTCTTTAGAATGAAGTTGTAGTGAATATTTCAGATGATGCTTGGTAAAGCGAGCATGCCAACCTTCAGCTTTCCTAGTGAAACCTTTCTAGACTTGAAGGTGCTACACAGTGCACCTATGGTCTGTACTTTAGTCAACCTTTGGGGTAACTGGCCCCCTGTGGAGTTTATCCTGGTCTCCATTAACAGGTATAGATCCTTTTACCTTCAGCCTGGCACTCACACTTAAAATAATTTAGCAGTAAACATCAAAACTATCTTTATTTTAAACACCACCAATGTTCTCAAACAGTTTAAGTGGAGTTGGAAATAAAATGTTCTATGATAATTCCAACTATGGTTAAAGGATTTGGGTGAAAGCTAGATTCCTGCCCGTGATAGAGCAAAAAAAAAAAAAAAATCAGAAGAAAAATGATGGGTGATTACAATCATGTCAAATATTTAGATGAACAAAGGATCAAGTTAAATGGAATTGACTATTTGTGGCAAGGAGTTAGAATCAATGTATTAACATAAAAGCATGATCTCAGTTTCTAAATTTCCACTATGCAGTTAAATACTAAATTGCTAAATACTAATATTAAATACAAAATTATCGGTAGTATCTTCAATCCGTAAGAGAAACTCATAAATAAGCAGTAACTTACCGTGGATATAGAACTTCTTAGCAGATGAAGGAATTCTAAGCCATTTCATTTCACTGTCTTCATTAAGCATTTTCCACTCAATAATAAAATACATGATGTTGTATTCATTTGGTGAAAGCACCCAGGAAAGAATCACACAACTGCTATTTAATATATAAGCACTGAGTGACTGCACGATATTTACTGAGGAAAATAAAAAAAAAAAACATGTCAAATTCAAGGTTAAACGTCTTTCCCAATGGTTAAAAGTGTTTCCCAATGGAATACCACACAAGAGTGATTCTCTCTACTCTATTCTCCCTGCTGATGGAACTGTGTTCTCAATTCTGTGAGTGTTTGGGTTTTTTGTTTGTTTGTTTGTTTGTTTTGGGGCCATACCCGGTGGTGCTTAAGGCTTATTCCTGGCTCTGCTCTCGGGGATCTCTCCTGGCAGTTCTTGAAAGACCATACTGGATGCGAGGATTGAACCTGGGTTGGCCACATATAAGACAAGCACCCTACCAGTGCTTGTCTTGAACTATCGTGGAATTGTGTTTTCAAAGCATACACGTGATGGGTCCAACACCTCTGCCAGATTTCTGCATAAAAGCCTACAATGCACAAGTAAGGATCAAACTCTTGCCTCTGTCTTTTGGGATTTTCTGCCTTCAAATGGCCAGGTCTTTATTTCCTTTCCAAATCCACAGGAGCTCCCCTTGGGCAGACTGCTGCTCGCTCTCTCATAACTCAGTGCTCTCCCACCCACGCCGCACATAGGGGATGTCTGAGCCCCCTACATCGCTTCCTCAAGAAGCCTTTCTCTGGGGCTGGAGCAATGGCACAGTAGGTAGGGCATTTGCCTTGCACGCAGCCGACCCAGGTTCGATTCCCAGCATCCCATATGGTCCCCTGAGCACCACAAGGAATGATTCCTGAGTGGAGAGCCAGGAGTGACCCCTGAGCATTGCCAGGTGACCCAAAAAGAACCGCCCCCCAAAAAATAAATAGCCTTCTCTGTCCTAATACCAGGTCATGCTGCCATTTTCTTTAAAAAAAAAATTGCATTAAATTTTCCCCCAGGAATACTTGAGTCCATTACAGTCATTTGCTTCTATGATTAACTTATGAAAATCTATCATGTCTCTTGGGGGTTGTGAGTGCTCTGAACATTATCGAAGGAAGTGGATGACTGGCAGAGGTGTGGGAAATTAGTTTTCCTTTTAATTTTGTGACTGTTCCTCTTCTGGAGAAACCCAAGTTCCTTCTTGAACACTTTCCCACTCCCTCTCGCCATTTATTAACTTTTCAAAACTTTCCCCTTCGTATTTCTCTAAATAAAACTATCTTACTTCAAAATAAGTAAATAAAAATTTAAAGTACTCTTACACACACACATACACACACACACACACACACACACACACACACAAAGATACACACTCCAGGTTAGAAATGTCTATTGAAAATGACTTTCAATTCACTGATTAATCACATATAAAAAGTAAAAAGCACATTCATTACTATGAGATGATTTGCGAGTCTTTGCAATTACCTGTATCAATATATTATCACGTGTATTATACATAGCACATATGTATATATAAATTTAATAGACTACAAATACATATACATATGATGGATGGAGAGATTTACCTACAATATTCACTAGTATAAAATGTTTAAGTGTTATATATTCTAGAATATCACTTTAGTGTTTTGCACATCGAAATTCAGGGACTATTACATAATCCAGGTCAAATCAGACTCATTATTTTTAGACAAGGAAGAGAAAAAAACTTCTAAATTCAAAAATCTGCAGAGCTCTTGGAAGATCGTGCAGAATGAGAGGAACTGGCAATGACCCACTATTCAAGGGAGCAGTGGCTGATCACCCCAGATCTCATTTTACCTTTGCTCACAGGCCAGGAGAAGGTCACATTAGAATTTGCCAAGGAAGTGCCAATAGAATTGACAGCTAGCACTGAGACCGTGTGTGCTTGCTCGGTCCACAGGAAGGTGAATTTTGTGTCATTTCCCACATCTTCCACCCACGTTTTGTTGTCGGAGGTGTGATGTTTCACCACATAGCTGCTCACACTGCACAATGAGTCGTTTTTCGTGAGAGGCTGTAGGATAAACATGATCCTGGTTAGTTCAAATACAAATGGGCATTCGGTACCACCAGAGCTCAAAGAACTCTCAAAATTCTACCCCATGGGAGGCAACAGCAGACCAGCACCGGCACTGCCTGGGCGGGGTCCTGGGGAGGGTCTGACATTGACCGTGGTGTTCTGGGGGTACAGAAGCTCCCAGTGATTCTTAGAAAATTTGGGTTCTCAGTTCAGTACAAGGGTTTGAGGACATGAGGCAGCTTGGACCCTGCAAGGATAGGGACCCCCGGACCACCAAGACCACCTAGGCCCCCCTAGCAATGCTGGGGGTATCCAGAGGCACACTTGACTGTTTTCAAGTACCAGGTGGTGTGAGGGATCGAACCCACGCCAGACACATGTTAGGGGCACATGTCCAAACCACTGTACTAGTTCCTGACCTTGCCTTCATTCCTTTTATTAGAAAATAGCACTAAAAACAAATGAGAGTACAAATGCAGTCCCAACTATAGGAATGAATGGCCTGACTTCAAGGTCCGCTCAGCTTACAAATCAAGGAAATCTATGTACTAGTCCCTAGATCACAATGTTTCGATGTGAATTCCTCTGTATGCAGAATTAACTAAGCATGAGTTTATGTATTGATGTCAAATCTAGTCCGTTTCCACACTAGTCAGCCAGTCTTTCTAACCCCTGCCTGTCTGGCTCTTCCAAACAGGAGAAACTAAGGGCGCCCTACTAATTGCTCACCATCCATTGACTGAATTCATCAATCCTGGCCTGCATGGATAGTGGTATAAATTTCAAATAATAACAGAAAAATGGTGGGCCCGTGCAGGCTGGACACTCAGGACTCGAGCATTTCATGGCAGAGAGCCACCTCCCCAGGCCGGACGATGGCCGAAGAACTGAGAAACAGAGATAGAACAGGAGCCTGGCCCCAGGCTGGTCGGCTTATTTCTCTCCTCCCCGGTGTTGTCCCATCTCTCCCTTTACGATGCAGTCATAGTGTAGTCTTGGTACATTCATCTGAGAGCAGAAATAGTCTTCCCACTCAGGGCCTGGCTCTCTATACCCTTAATCTCGGCCCTCTGTAACTACATCTCAAAATCAAGATGAAATCTTGGCATTGTAGTATCAATAACTGACAGCATTGCATATAAAAATAAAATTTAGGAATAATGGAAAAAAACGAGAATACCTTCCAAAGTAAAGTGACATTTCTCTCTTCTTTAGTTGTAGTTTCATCAATCATTCTCCAAAAATCGGGACCTCTGGTAGGAACTGTAGAACAAGGCACCCAAGTTGGATTTGGCATTCTCAGAAAGGAGTATTTTTCAGTAGTATTTGAAACACCAAAAACATTTATTTTTAAGGGGGCTGAAGCAATAGCAGAGCAGGTAGGGCATCTGCCTTGCAAGCAGCCGACTCGGGTTTGATTCCCAGCATTGCATAGGGTCCCCTGAGCACTGCCAGGAGTGATTCCTGAATGCAGGGCCAGGAGTAACCCCTGTGCATCACCGGGTGTGACCCAAAAAGCAAAAAAAAAAAAAAAATGTTCACACACGTACAACACAGTAACAACAAAGTCTCCAATGGAGATGTTACTGGGCCCGCTCGAGCAAATCGACGAACAATGGGAGGGCCTTTACCTTTACCTTTACACACACACACACACACACACACACACACACACACACACACACACACAACCCCATGACTCTGCAGACCTTTTATGTCCGTGACAACTGTGTAGACTGGAGCGCTCCAGTTGCTCCAATACCCGACTCCGTCCAGCCTCTTACAGCGCAACTGAACAGCATACACTGCACATAGGTCAGCCACAGGAAGGCTTGTCGACCTTGAATTTGCATCAAATACCTCATACATCTGTAAGATAAGCCAAAGCATTCATTACTAACACATGGAGGTAGAGGCCTCTGAAGTGCATTTAGTTGAGTCTGATTCCCAAACTGAGAGAGCAGTAGCTTTGTCTTTTCTGGATGTATTGAATACCCGTATTGGGTTTGGCTTGTGAGCGCCAAGCCGCGGGAAGGGCTATCATCTTACTATGTTCTTGTTAAATGCTAAGATTTTAGACTGGAATTGCCACCTACATTCCCAATCACTCAGTTATTATGTCTTTGCCGTGAAAATAAAACAAAATAAAAAAAAATCAATGCTCTGTTTACTAAGACTTTTTATCTACAGGTTGGATTGGGTCTCTGTTGTACAGAATCCTTGATACTCTCTTTCATCAAATGGTTACGTTCATTTCCATTTAAGTTACTGATTTAATTGACAAAATTTGAGTTTCTGATAATTTCAAGTCTGCAGGCTGCCACTGGAAATCTGAAGTGGTTAGCCTTCACAGGCACTCTTGTCAATATGGGTATGATTGTGACTGGTTGATAAAAGCAGCTTCTAAAATGTGTCTCGTGGAATATTACTATGACAGAATATTACTATATTAGAAGAAGAGGAGTTCCTTGGTCAAATGAGTATTAAAAAAAACAGGAAGAAATAGTCACAGATGTTTTTATAAAAATGAGATCTCACCGGACCTTTATTAGGTGATGCACTGTGTCTGAACACTGGAATATACCACAATTCAGGGTTTCCTACATATACTAGTCTCTTGATCTTTTCTCAAGGAACACTTTGCAAAATAATGGATTGCAGCCCATTTTATTCCTTAAACAGGTTTATACCAAATACATTAATAAAAATTGCTACAGAATACAAAGAAACTATTTTTATGCCAAAACGATTAGTATCGTACAGTAAAATAACAACATTTAAGAAATAGCGTTCAGTGGAGCAAGCTAAAGAAATTTCTAGGTAGAAAGTACCTTCCATTGTTCTTCTTTTTCATTTAATCTGTAGCGAATCTGAAACTGCAGACTATTCTCTGGAAAGATTGGCTTTTCCCAAGATATTTTCAATAGTCCAGTGTTCACAGTAATTTCTGCTTTCACTTTGGATGGGGGCAGTGGTTTCACTGGAAATTTAAAAATGAACAAAAGTGTTATGCAACAGTAATTTATATGAAGATAGAGCAGAAGAATCAATGCATAGATTGCTTGTTAAGCAAGTTAATAGGAAGAGCTGGGCTGTTTCTACTATAGGGAAACCTGAGTTCTCTCTTGAAAATGTATTTTTCTCTCTGTCTTCTCTCATGTCTCTAAATTTCTTTTGATTACAAACTATTTTTACTTCACTTAGAAAAAAAAGAGCTGATGAGAAATTAAGTCATCGGCCCTCATGCAAAAGGGACCACACTTGAAATCTCTCAAGAGCAAACCGTTTTGATTTAGACTTGGAATTTAAAGCCAAAATAAAACAAAAAACTATTCCCCCACACACACATAGACTACAAAAACTCCCTACTCCCTTCCCCAGCAACTGCCCGCACACACACACCAAGAACAAAAATTACCATCAAGCATTTTTCAAACCCTTTCTTCTTCCCGAGGCATTTCTAGGTTAAGTTTAGAGACAAACTTGCAGAGTGAAGCGTTGGTTTTTTTCATCATGGGCTTTTAAAGGACAGCAACAAAGAACTGCACCAGAAAGACGAGCTTTACACATATAAAGTAAAAAACTATAGGAAGACAACATATTTGGGGACCAAAAGTTCTAAAGCCCAAATACAACAGTGTATCTCTGAAGTTCTGATTCATCAACAAGGACCTAAACCTTCCTTTGGAAGGCAGTTTTTCTCGTTTCTTCAATTTTCACACACAAAAGATGTTTTACACCAACCAGTTATTAACATACATTTCATTGTGTAAACAGCCAATGAAGAAACAATGAATATTTGAGAAACCCTACGACATTAAATCTGATTTTACTTGCCTGGATCATATGGCTGTTACTAATCATTTCCACTAAAGCCTAATGGACAGAACAGGTATTTCTGAAGTATAATAATTTATAAGGGATGTTCCATCTGGCATGACTATAAAATAGTTAGCTGGGGGACAGTTAGCAAGCAGTTCAGTTTACTAGGATTTCTATAACTGGCCCAACTGGTAAGATGTGTAAGAGGTGAATCCAGCATTTGAATCTACAAGTTGCAATTTCTACAGTTTTCTAGAATTCAGTAGGTACTACAAATCTGATTTAAGTTCCTTATTTTAGTACCAAAGTACTTATTTTAGTACTTACTTCAAAGGTTGAGTATAAGAATTTCAAATATTCAGTTGTAGAACCAACCTCATGCCATATGTGTCACATATTACATATATGTATATATATATATCACTTGGGTTGGAGTGGTAGCACAGCGGGTAGGGCATTTGCCTTGCATCCGGCCAACCCGAGTTCGATTCCTCCGCCTCTCTTGGAGAGCCCGGCAAGCTACCTAGAGTATCTCACCCGCACGGCAAAGCCTGGCAAGCTACCCGTGACGTGTTTGATATGACAAACACAGTAACAACAAGTCTCACAATGTTACTGGGCCCACTCGAGCAAATCGATGAACAATGGGAGGACAATGCTACAGTGATATATATATCGCTTGTATCACTTGTTGTCCCATTGTTCATCGATTTGCTCGAGCAGGCACCAATAATGTCTCCATTTGTCCCAGCCCTGAGATTTTAGCAGTCTCTCCTTACTCGTCCTTCCCAACGCTGCTGTACTGGGGGCTCTTTCAGAGACAGGGGAATGAGACCCGTTATTGTTACTGTTCTTGGCATATCGAATATGTCACAGGTAGCTTGCGAGGCTCTGCAGTGCAGGACAGATTAAATTAAATACTTAATTGCATTTAAATATATATTGCATTAAATTAAATACAACATATATATTGCATAACACTGCATATATATATATTGCATATCCGTGCATATTTATGGGTTGAACGGTAGCAAAGTTCTTTGCCCTTCTAAGATATTTAATGCCAGAGAAATACCATTTAGGGCATTGTCAGTATGAATGGGAACAAACTAAACTATTGGGAGTGGGAGTGATCAACTAATTTGAACAATACATTGGAAAAAGGTTTTTGCATAATAGAAATTTATCTTATGGTTAGAAAAAGATGTGTACTACAGACAGAACTTGCTTTGTACAGCTAAGTAATGGTTTGGTTTTGTTTTTCACAAACTGAAGTCTTTTGTTTCTTAATGTCCCAAAAATCAGCACTCTGTTTCTTTTGCCACTTAAAGAAAACTGGAGAAATTGAAAATGTTCTGTGTTTACAAGATAAATGGGATTTCTCTGCCCAGAGAAGAGGTCAAAGCATCTACAGTGGAAAAGATCAGAAATTCTGTCCTCACTTCCCCTGCATCAACCCCTGGTTACCTTTCAAAGCCTTCAGCCCCATGGCCAAGCATCCTGCATGTGGCCAACTCACGGCAGCCAAGAGCCAAAACAAGCAATTATTTCCCACGACAACTGAACCAAAGCTACACAGCGGGTCAAGCATCTGTTGTCTAAATGGTACAAAAGCCAAGTGGAAGGTTGCAGCTGGGTTGAGCGAGTCTCAGGGTACCCTTTTTTTTTTGTTTTTTGTGTCACACCCAGTGATGCATAGGGGTTACTCCTGGCTCTTCACTAAGGAATTACTCCTGGCGGTGCTCAGGGGACCTTATAGGATGCTGGCAATTGAACCCAGGTTGGCTGTGTGCAAGGCCAATGTCCTACTTGCTGTGCTATCACTCCAGTCCCATCTGGGTGCCCTTCTTCCCTTACCATGTGTTCACTTAGTCTCTCTGCCATGTGCTGGCAATTTGCATGATTTTTCAGAAGTTCTATTATCTATGTAAGAGTTATCAAGCTTTCACCTCCCTGTACTTCTGGATACCTTGGTAGTCATATCCACACCCCCAAAGCTTCCACCCATTTGAAAAGCTACTTCAGCCTTACCATCCTGATAAAAATACCCAATGTCCTGAACAATCATCACGACCTCTTGGCACCTGTATTGTAAACCATAATACATAAAATGAAAAGGAGAGAGAGAGAGAGAGAGAGAGAGAGAGAGAGAGAGCGCAAGAATGAAAGTGCCTCCCATAGAGAGGCTGGGTGTTGTCGGTGGGGGTTTGGGGGATGGTGGTGGGGAAACGGGGGACATTGATAGTGGGAAATGTACACTGTTGGAGGGATGGGTGCTGGATCATTGGTGACTAAAACCCAATTATGAATATCTTTGTAATGCTCTATCTCACGGACATACAATTAAAATTTTTTTAAAGTAATGTGGAGTTCATGCCCAATTCAGTAAGTTTAATCAATGGCTGAATAAATAGCAGTACTCCTACATTAAAAAAAGACTTATCAATAGGTTCGAGTGATAGGTGATCTGTGGTCCTTACTGCTAAGTGATGTTACTATCGTCCTTGCTTTGGGGTGTCTACACCAGATGGTGAATTTGATCTATAAACGTCGTTTGTGTTCTGACTGCTCTAGTGCCCAACTGTTCAAATCTCTCTCCCTCTCCTCAGTCCTCCTTATTCTGAGACACAAAATTCGTGAAATAAGAACAGATGCTAATCCTCACTCTAACTGTTCTAGTGAAAGGAAGAGTCATGTGTCTCTCACTTTAAATCAAGAAATCAGGCTGGGTGAGGATGTCACAGCTAAAGCAGGAACCAAAAATGCGAATTCTTGTGCCGATTAGTCAAATCATGAATGCAAAGAAAAAGGTCTTGAAGAAAATGAAAAGTATTCTTCGGGGAGCATACAAATGATAAGAAAATCAAAAACAGATTTACTGCTGACATGGAGTAAGTTTTGGTTGCCCAGATACAAGATCAACCTAACCACAACATTCTCTAAAGCCAAAGACTTATCTATTGTAAGTGTCTCGTTTTTTTTTTTCAACTTTATGATGACTGAGAAAGGTTAGGAAACTGTAGAAGAAAAGTTTGGAGTCAGCAGAGGTTTTTTTGGTTATTTTTTTTAATGAGGCGGAGGGGTACTGTCTATATTATCAAAGTGCCATGCTATACAAGTAGAAGCAGTAAGTGCTGATAGAAAAGTCAGAGCATTCCCCAGAATTTCTAGCAAAGATCACTGGTGAAGGTCCTAGACGCAACAATAGACTTTCAAAGTAGGCAAACAATCTACTATTGGACCAAGAATCCATCTAGGACTTTCCTGGTTATAGAAGTCAGTATCAGTATCAAAGTTTCAAAAGAAAGCTTGACTCTCTTGTCAAGGGTTAATGATGCTGGTGACTTCAAGTTAAAGCCAATGCTTATTAATATTCTATTATTCCTAAGATCTTAAATAATTATGCAAAAGTTATTATGCCTGTGCTCTATGAATGGAAGCACAAAGTCTTTAATAATATGGCTTTCTTTAAGCTATACTATAAGCCTACTATTGTTCACAAAATAAAAGGGGGATCCATTTCAAAATACTACTACTCATAGACAAGGTACATGGTACCCCAGAACTCGGATGAAGAAATACAAAGAAATCAATGTTGCCATGCCTACCAACACAACTTCCATTCTGCATCCCAAAGATCAAGGAGTCTTTTAGCGTTTCAAGTCTTATTTCAAAGAAAACTGAAGACCTTTTGAAGGGGATTCACCATTCCGGCTGCCACTAAGAACCTTTGTAACTTGGAGTTTGAGAATGGCCCATAGAAAAGCTCTCTTAAGCTCTCTGCTTAAGGCAGAGAGTTGAAATCCTGATGCCACCAACAGGCATCAAACATGGCTTTTTAGGAGCTCTGGTGGCAAAACAAAGCAGTCAATTCCTGGCACACTGCAGCCAGGTGTGTGCAAGCATCAGAGCTGATGTGCCTCAACCTTTGTGAGCACTGCAACTAAAACTGCGTGAGTCCCAAAACTAGGTAAGCGATCCCCTTAAACCAGGAAGTGCACACGCACTGCAGCTCAAGTTTTCAAGCGCAGGCCAGTATGTCTACAAACACTGCAACTAAAAGTGTGTGATGTTCATGTAGCACCACAGCCAAGAGTGTGCAGTTCCCTGTCACTACAACAGAAGTGGAGATGAAAAGAGAATGGGAAAAATCAGAAAGTCAAAGAACATTTGTGGTTCAACAGAGGAAACAGTCCCATTAGCAGGAGTTTAGAAGGACTCACTTCCAACCTTCATGGATAACTCTGGGAGGTTCAATTCTTGGTGGAGTAAGATACTGCAGGTGTGGTGGAAAAGGTAAGGGAGTGAGAATACAAGTGGTGATTCTAAGTGTTCAATCTCAAGATAAGATTGACAAGTGGGAATCTGCTTCTTGTGGATCAGCAAAGAAAGCAATTTCTGTGTCTCAAAGAAAAGTCCCTGCCTTAGAGGCAGGCTGGTTGGGTGTATGTACTGACAAAAGGAAAAGATGTATTTAATAACTTACTGAAACCTGTAATAATCCAATTGTATTTGGGGAGAGACTTCCCCAACAGGATAGTATATAGCACTGAAAGACATTCTTTTACATATCAGCTGCACAATAACATATGCATCATTTCTCAAATATTTCACGGCAATACTGGAGAGCTATAAAATTTTTCCAGTGCTCTCAATATTTTGAAATACAAATACTTATTTAAGAGAGTGTTTAAAACGTCATGATGAGTGTTGTCATCCTTGTCTATTATTTTCTTTTCTCTTCTTCACTTCATTTTAGGTAGTCTTCATTTTTCTGGTCCCTGAACAGCCTTATAAATTAAAGTCTTGGGTTATGACTAGGCAGAAAAGTCATCAGAGAATTCAAATTAAACTTCTAGATTAAAAACATAAATGTTTATATAAATACTCTGAAAAAAAAACCTCAAAGTAGTGATGGGAGCCAGAGCAATAACGCAACGAGCAAGGCACTTGCCTTGCATGTGGCTGACCCAGATTCAATCCCCAACACCCCATAAGGTCCCCGGAGTCCACCAGGAGTGGTTTCTGAAGGCAAAGTCAGAAGTAAGTGCTGAACATAACCAGAAGTGGCACGAAAATAAAACAAACAAATGAGCTTCATAGTAGTGCATCACTTAAAATAGTAGTACTAATTTTGGTTCTCAGTGTTTAATATAATTCTTGAATAGTAATTTGAAAATATGTCTATTGCCCTGCTCCGCAAATGAAAGTCCTATCTAGTATCTTGTATTTAAGGAAGACAAAAACTATAGAATTTTATTCATGTATGAAAAATTTAAAAAAGCACAAACAAAACCTTAGATTCTGAGAACAGAATGAATGGAGTTGCCATAGGCACAAAGGAGCAAGAGGGCAAAAATAAAAAATTAGGAGCATGAAATGTATAGTGGTGGATGAAAACTAGACTCCTGGTGTCCATCATAATTAATATATTAATATACACAGATGCTAAATAATTAATTAATATTAATTAATTAATATTAATTGATTAATATACCCAATACATAATTAATTAATTAATATACACAGATGCTAAAATATAAAACTCTCTACTGAAGAGCCGCACTGTCCATTTGCTCAATTTCACTGATTTCCTCAAGTGGGCATCAGTAATGTCTCCATTGTGAGACTTGTTGCTACTGTTCTTAGCATATCAAATACACCACAAGGAGCTTGCCAGGCTCTGCCATGTGGGCGGGATATTCTCGGTAGCTTGCCGGGGTCTCTGAGAGGGATGGAGGAATCGAACCCAGGTCAGCAGCGTGCAAGGCAAATGCCCAACCCGCTGTGCTATCGCTCCAGAGTATATAATGTAACAAACTAACATTACTAAAAAATTGCTAGATATTTAAAATAAAACAAAAATTAAAAATGGGGACATCAGTGAAGGAAAGTAAACACTGGTAAAGGGGTTACTGCTTGTATCTTGTACCTCTCAAACTCAATCATGGATAAATTTTTAACTTTGCCATTCATGGTGACTTAATGAATTATTCTTTAAAAATAATAGAACTGTCTATGGTTGACTGTCTTGCCAACTCCTCCTCGGAAACAGGAAAGAAAATTCAATCTAGTGTGAACATATAGTGGCAAAATGCATTACCTGAATCAAACTGAATTCAAATTTTTGGATAAAAATGAAGACATACAGCTCAGTTGGACATACCCACATAATTAGGAATGAAACACGCTGGTGGAGAATCAAGTGAACCTAAAGGATGATTGATCCTAATCCACATTGTATAGCCAGATAGTAGAAAGATTGGCTGAAATACACATTCATAAACACCATCTCCCTGCAAAAGGCAATCTTTGGATTCAGACTTGGGGTGAATGGATGGTTCTTCAGGACAGTAAAGTCTCCTCCTAAAAAGATAGAAGAACAGGCAATTAATACACAAAATTGGGAAAGCAATATGACATTTAAGAATTTAATTTTATTGTTTATTTTGTTTATTTATTTTGCTTTTTTGGGTCACACCCAGCGATGCTCGGGGGTTATTCCTGGCTCTGCACTCAGAAATTACTCCTAGCGGTGCTCAGGCGACCATATGTGATGACAAGGATCTAACGAACCCAGTTCGGCTGCAGGCAAGGTCTGCCCACACTGGCCCTAATTAAAGGTAAAGGCCCTCCCGTTGATCGTCGATTTGCTCGAGCGGGCCCAGTAACGTCTCCATTGGAGACTTTGTTGTTACTGTGTCTGGCATATCGAATACTCTCGGTAGCTTGCCGGGCTCTCCGAGAGGGGTGGAGGAATCGAACTCGGGTCGGCCATGTTGGCCGCTTGTAAGGCGAACGCCCTACCCGCTGTGCTATCGCTCCAGCCCCTAATTATATTGTTTAAAAGAGACAGTTTCGGAAGCGTACAGAGAGCTTACTGGACTGGGGCTGATGGTTTGCATGCAGGTGGCCCTGGATCCCTGGCACCATGTATGGTTCCCAAGAAACACCAGGAGTGATCTTGCCCATCCCAGCATCAAGTCAGAGTAATTCCAAGCACCACTGGGTTTAGCCCCCAAACCATATTAATTCATTAAATGAAGAGACAGCTTTATTCCATCTAAACAGGAGTCATCTTGTTAGAAAAGCACCTTTTAATTCCCAGCTATATCACAGTCTTGCCACAATACAGGCCTTTATCAAATATTCATTAGCGGGGCTGGAGCAGTAGCACAGCCGGTAGGGTGTTTGTCTTGCACGGCCAACCCAGGTTCGATTCCCAGCATCCCATATGGTCCCCTGAGCACTGCCAGGGGTAATTCCTGAGCGCAGAGCCAGGAGTAACCCCTGTACACTGCCGGGTGTGATCCAAAAAGCAAAAAAAAAAAAAAAAATATTCATTAGCTGTTAAGAGACAGAAATGAAATAAACTTCATTGTCCTAACAAGGTGATTAACAGTTCAATTTAAGAAATCTACAATACTCTAAAAGTTAAGTTCAGTTATGCCTGTAGCACTGTAGCACTATCCTCTCGTTGTTCATCGATTTGCTCGAGCAGGCCCAGTAACGTCTCCATTGTGAGACTTGTTGTTACGGTGTTTGGCATATTGAATACATCACGGGGAGTTTGCCAGGCTTTGCCGCGCAAGCGAGATACTCTCAGTAGCTTGCTGGGCTCTCCGAGAGGGGCGGAGGAATCGAACCTGGCTCAGCCAAGACATGCCTCATGCAAGGCAAATGCCCTACTACCGTGCTATTGCTCCAGCCCCAATTATGCTTACGCAAGCAAAATAGAATATTGATACAATATTTAAGGGTTTTATGATGTCTTTTTTAAAATCACACTTGGCAGTGCTTGGACTACTTCCTGCTCTGCACTTGGGGGGTGGCCCCTCAGCTCAGAGGACCAGGCAATTCCAAGGATCAAAGCTGGGCCTTCCCATGAGTGAGGGGCACGCACTCCGACTGTTAGGCTATCTCTCGAGCCCATGTTACAATTTTTAAAGGATAGAGCAAAAGTGTATGTAAAAGGGGCATTTCCGAAATGGGAAGGAAGATGCATTCCGTGCATTTTAACAGAGATTAAATGTTATGGCAAATTACTAACAGTAAACATAACTGACTGCGAATGTTTAATGTCCTAATATTTTCTATTTTAAAGCAATATAGTTTTTAAAGCCATTTATTTCTATATGAATCACAGTCAAGTATTTCACTCATTTTCTCTAGCTAACACTCCATCTTAATACATATGTAGCATTTCTCCTCTCCTTTAAAAATTTTTTTAACCAATACTTGCTCTGAAAATTGCCTAGAAATGACTAACGTAGTAGACTAAATGACTCAATGTAAATGACTAAAGTCATTTTTACACATGTAAAAAAAGTAGGCACATTTTTTCATAGGGAAGGAAGGATGCAAAGAAATTAAAAATTCTGTTCTTCTACTTCTCATTTTCCATTTTTGGTGACACCTTTTTTTCCTATTTCCTCAAACTTACAGCTCTCTCTCTCTCTCTCTCTCTCTCTCTATAGAGAGAGAGAGAGAGAGAGAGAGAGAGAGAATGAGTGAATTCGTGGTGGTGATGAGTGGAAGGAAGTGAGAATGAGTGATGAGCTAAAAGCAGCACGACCTTGTTTAGAAGCATGGCTACAGACCAGTTTGAATCCAAAGGGAACATCAGTAGCATAACACCCGCAGTAGCCATTCACTGAGTGTCTACCAAAGAAATGGTAACACCTTAATTGTGAGTATCACTTGTATCACTTGTCATCCCATTGCTCATGGACTTTCTTGAGCGGGTGCTAGTAATGTCTCCATACTGTCCCTGTCACTAGCACGCGACAGTAATTATTAGTATATGGAATATGTCATTAATTCTTCAGGGGTGGGGGCGCTGGTGGCTGCAGGATGGGGCGGGGGTTGGGGACCAGTCTAGGCAGTGCTGAGGGAACCATATGTGAACTGGGGTCGGTTACATGCAAGGCAAGTACCTTAACTTTCATATTATCTCTCTGGTGTTAAGTAATGCTTTAAGATGGGCTATAAATCCTTGATTTCCTCCATTTTACAGAAGAGAACATTGAAATCAGAGAGGATAAAACCTTGCTCAAATATATGTAAGGAGTTTAATGGTCCTAGAAATGTTAGTAAGAAAATTGAGACACAGTGTTGATACTGTAGTGATCCACCACCACGTCTGTATGTGAAAATGTCATGAAAAGAAAGTATCAATTATAAAAAAAAAGGCATACTAAGAACTTTTTACTGGCTTGAAAATGAGCATATGAAGTTATTTGGAAGAAACTATTTTTCCCATGTGAGAAATGCATAACAAAACAAAATAAGCCCCCATTTTTTTCTAACACTGCATAAGAATAGACTGGGAGCATTAGAAAAAGAATTTGGGTCTCAGTACTTGAGGAAGATAACTTGTTTGTCAAGTACAAAATTTAGATTTTTAAGAATAAATAAACACATATGATATATGTTGAAAGTCCCCAATGCTAATACGAATTGAGATAGTGTTTAAGAGAAGCACACATACTTGTAAATTACTGTGGAATATTATAAAAATAAAAATTTATCTGTCTTTTCTTAGTCAAAAAGATTATTATTTAGATAAAACTCAGTAGAAAAAATTAGATAAAACTCTAGAAAAATAATGCCTTGAATTCTAAAACAGGAGAAGCACAAATAAATATTTTTTGGTTGTTTTTTGGGGGGTTGGAAGTTACACCCAGAAACACTTAGGGATCACTCCTTTCTCTGTACTCAGAAATCATTCCTGGAGGTGGTCAGAGGACCATATTAGGGATCAAACTCAGGTCCACTGAGTGCAAGGCAACTACCTTACTGCTGACTATGACTCCGACTCCAGATTAACCTATTTCTAAAGTCATCCATATTATCTCTTACAATCTTGGTGTACCACTAACTTTTCCCCAAACATTATTTTTAAGCAAATGATAGTAGGCATCTGTAATCTTCAGTATCCTTTTAAGTCAAATTAAGATGTACAGAAATTATTTTTCTCAAATTTTATTGACTAGTCAAAAGCAATTGTAGTAAATTTATCAGAAAAAATAATTTATCAAAAACAAATTGAAATGAAAACAAATTAAGAATTTTTACCTCAAGGATGAATTTCCTTTCAAGAAAATCAAATTTATTGAATTCTACTATGTATATTCTAACTCCTTCCAGGAAGAAAGTCTTTTGGACTACTCATGACAATATATCTACAACAAAATTCTTCATCATATTTCAAAAAATTAAACAGCCAAAATTATACATACCTATGATACCTCAACTCTAAAGTACTTCCCACGAGTGATTCCATTTCATTGGCTGACCATCTGCAAGTCATTTTGGCTAAGTATCCATCCGTTTCACATGATATACTGATATTAACATCTATTTAAAATACAGAAAAAGTATTAATATGAAGAAAAAACACCAAAGATGCTTATTCAAAATAAATTTGCTTGACATTTCCAACAGGACTTTTCTACAGGGTCCCAAAATAGACATATATCTTGTGGAACAAAATAAAGAAAAAATCTCAGCATTTCTTACCAATCACGTGTAATTCAGCATAGCGATGATGGCATTCTTGCTCGTTGCAACAGTATACAGCATCGTAGGTAAACGTCCCTCGAGGTATGGTTGCATTGACATTGGGAAAAGTTACTTCGCTCACATGGTCATTGACCACATGGTACTGGCTTTGAGGAATTTTCTCAGCTAAATTTAGCCACCAAACAATCTCTTTTGAGGAAACCATCTTACCCTCATTTTTGTACATGCAGTGAAAAGAGACATTAGACCCAACACTTGTCAGAATTTTAGGTGGAAAGTATACGACATCTGTAAGGAGGAAGGAAAAGTGGAATATCAGAGGAAGACAGAAAACATCACGAAGGCAATTTATACCAAGTAAAGAGGATTCACATTGCATTGAGAATTACTCAGCCAACTGTAAAAAATGCTCGAAAGATCATCCAAATGTAATTGTATATCTGTGTCATTAGTGTCCTGTCTGTGAATAACATGAGTTTTCATAATGTCTTCAGTATTTCTAAACACAGAGATGTACTCAATACAAATATGTAACTGTCAATTGCTAGTTTGCAGGCAAGGAATTAATATAAATAAAGTAAAACCTAATTCCACAATGATTTTTTTTATCAGACTGCTTCCACAACTAGGAATAAGCATGAACCAAAAAAATTAAACACACAAAAGTACCCTAACACAGCAAGATAACCACAAACCAAAGGCAATGGGGTGGGAGGTATGATCCACATAACCTGAGTTGGAGAATGTGTGTGTGTGTGGGGGGGGGGGGGTGAAGGTTTAGAGGGAGGTAGTTTAGAATTCTTGGGGAAGGAAGGTGGGCACGTTCGTGATGGGTGTGCTGCTGGAATTCTGTGCGTGAGGAATTTGTAATAGTATTGTAAACCACAGAACCTCAATCAAAAAAAGTTTTAAATAAAAAATATATGAAAATGTAAGTGCTTCATGCTTGGGACGTAATTCCCTTCAAGTAAATATTCCTCATGTTACTGTGAATATGATATGTATTTATTGGAGTTTTAGGACTCAGTGAAGCTTTCATACTATTATTCTACAAAAGAAAATAAATCATTGCTAAAGTATTAAAAAATAGTCACAATACTGTGGAGCAGCTAAATGCTAAAAACATTACCTTAAGAAGAAAACACAAGTTATAAAAACCTTATCATTCACAAAGTTTACATTAAACACATAGGGTTGACATTTACATAAAGCAAATGTTATAATTTTCAAATACATAAATACATTTTATTCTCAAATGAGACATTTAATTTGTAAGACAAAAAAGAATGATTTTCTTTACATGATAAAGTAGTAATAATACTTCTGCAAGATTTATATTAATTAGCTTTATGAAAAGAGGAAATTTTATTCACAAATTAGTGAATTCCTCTGAAGAAAAACTAAGTCTGTACATTTAGACAAATTTATTTGAAAATAATTACTATAGTCCTATGAAATACATTTTTGAACTCTTGGGGAGTACAACCTAATTTTTAAAGGAAAAAATATTTCTCTATCCTATCATAAGAGCTGTCAAGTGTGAAACAGAATAACCTAGCACCTGTTTTTCCTCTTTCTAGAGAGCGATTAATAAAGATTAATAAAGAATGCAATTAATAAAGAAATGATAACAATCAGCATTCCTTATGCGGTCTTCAATATATGGTATGATCTCTTTGCAACAGTCTTAAACTTCATAAGTTCTGCAAAGATTTTAAGTTGTCTCCTAAAGGACCAACATCTCCGGAGAATCTCATTTGAGAAATGAAAACAGCTCATTTCAAAAAGAATTAAAAAAAAAAGAATTCAAAATTCCTTGATGAAGTATAATTTATACTTCACTAATAGCACGAGATAGGTACAACTTTAATATATCAAAGGTAAAAAAGCTCTGAAGTTTTTGATAATAATTAGCAATGCTTTTGTTTGTCCTTTAAATTTATTTTAATTGCAGTAACATTGACTTAACTGTTATCATATGTCCCAAGTAAACTCTGTTAAGACAAATAAAGAACAAGTATTTAAAAATGATAAAACAGATATGCTCCTTCCAAAAAAAAAAATCAATGCCTCAATTCTGCAGAATGTTTTTCTCTGCTGGCTGCCGTTCATTGTAACACACAGCAGAAAACAATAGAGGAAAATTTAATAATCAGTGCTTAGATTTCAGAGAGGAAGATTCTGATCATTTTACACAAAGAAGAGGAAGTTCCTAGCACTGGAGAAGTCCACTTCACGGCTGTAATTGTTTCCATGTGGTAGATGACTGAGAAAGAAATCCAGTAACACTAAACCTAGAAATCATAAACACTGAAACCTCATTTAGTGGGAGTATCTGAGGTCATGAAGTAGTCCTCGGAAAACATTCCAGTTTACTGGCTTTGAGTGTCAGCTGTTGGTAACCTCGAAAGTTTGCCTGAGTAATGCAAGATGAACAGATTCCTTTATTAGTAATGAAGCAGAAACCGCAGGATTCATGTCCAGCTCTGCTACTTTCCTAAGTCACTCACCCAAACTATTTCACAAGGTTACAATCAGGATACAGAGTATATATGTAAAACATTCAGAACAGTGCCTGAAATACAAGAAGTACCCTCTCCACTGCTATTTAATCAAGAACTGCTAAAATGATGTCCTTCTATGTTCACTACAACAAAAGCCAGAATCTGGAAACAACCCGAGTGCCCGAACACACGAATGGATAAAGAAAATATGGTACGCCTACAGAATGGAATACTACACAACTGCTTGCTAGGAAAATGAAGTCATGAAATTTGCCTACAAATGGATGAATATGAAGAGTATCATGCTGAATGAAATGAGTCCGAAAAGAGACAGATATAGAATGACTGCATTCATTTATGGTATATATAAAAAAAATAGTATAAGACTAATATACAAGGCTAAAGAAAACAGGGACCAGGAGGAATGGTGAATGGTTGGAATCTAACACAAGTGGCGGTGGGCAGGGGGGCGGCAGTGGGGTGGAGGGTAGGTTAGACAGAAAAGGTACTAGTATGGCAAGAATAGCTGGAAATGATCGTGTTGGGTAAGAACTGAGTATTTAAAGTAGGTAAAGGAATATATATATACACGATAACCTTTCAGTATCTGTATTGCAAACCACAATGCCCAAAAGGGAGAGAAAGAGCCATACAGGTACGCTGGGGGGGGGGGGGGAGGGGGGTAACTGGAGGTGGGTGGGAGAGAAACTGGGTATACTGGTGCTGGGAACTGTAAACTGGTAGCGGTATGGGTGTTGGAACACTGTATGACTGAAACCCAACCATGAACAGCTCTGTAATGGGCTATCGCACGGTGATTCGATAAATTTTTAAAAAAATATTTAATAAAGAATTTGAGATGAAGTAAGCGCTGAACCCGCAATCCAGTCAAGAAGTCCAGCCTGTAAGTTCTACTCCAGCAAGACAATTAGTTCCTCGACAGCCTGGTCCTGGCGCCTGTGCAGCAGTGAGCAACTCTGGCCTTCCTGGTGTGGCAGTAAGAACTGTGCCAAGTTAGTGGGGCCAGGTGTGCTAATCTCCTTCAGGCACGCGCGCTCTAGGGCCGGGTGCCAATCTCGGGAATGGTGTAGGGCAAGGCCGAGTTAGGAAGCAAGCCCAGTGCCCAGAGCAGAGTGCTGAAGCTCAGTGTATCCTGGCACTAAACAAGGAAGTTGCTGGACTGGACCAACATTCTGGAATTCCATGTGCGAGAGCTTAGAGAACCTGATTCAGCTACTTAATGGTTGGCAGCCAAGATCCTCTGTCTGGTGCTCAGAAGACCCTGGCCTTAGCCTTGTACGTGGCCGACATGGCCGACTCGAGTTCGATTCCTCAGTCCCTCTCGGAGAGCCCAGCAAGCTAATGAGAGTATCTCGCCCGCATGGCAAAGCCTGGCAAGCTCTCCATGACGTATTTGATATGCCAAACACAGTAACAAGTCTCACAATGGAGATGTTACTGGGCCCGCTCGAGCAAATTGATGAACAATGGGAGGACAGTGGACAGTGGGCAATGAATCACCGTGAGATAGTTACAGATTTACACCTCTGTGTTAGGCACATTCCCTCTTATTATCTCTCTCTTCCAGGGTGTTATGGTTTGCAGTACAGGTACTAAGTGGCCTTCATGTTTGGTCCTACTTTCAGCATGCTTCTCCCTTTTTCTAATGGAGATGAAGTCAGGGCCACCCACTTTATGACTAGAAGAATATAGTTCGGGGGCTAGAACTATAGTACAGCGGGTAGGGTGTTTGCCTTGTAGATGGCCGACCTGGATTTGATTCCCAGCATCCCATATGGTCAACCAAGAACTGCCAGGAGTAATTCCTGAGTGCAAAGCCAGGAGTAACCCCTGTGCATCATCAGATGGACGCAAAAAGCCAAATATATATATATGTGTGTGTATGTATGTATAATATATATATATTTCAGGGGAACCCTGCAGATAAGACATTTCAGAGTGAATAAAGTCCTATCTGAGAAACTCACTTTTTACTCTCTGAGTGAAGATGCCGTGCTTTGTGTTTGGGGAAATCTCCACGTCTCTCAACAAAGGGGAAGCATTGGAGGGTCACCCTATAGTTCTCTAGACTTGTTTGCTGCTAAGACACTTCTCCCTGTATATGTTACTGAATAGATTTTTCTTTCCCTAATCTGTTCTATGTTGTTTTGATTGCTTGGTCAGCTCAAGAATCCAGAGGTGTGGGGGCTTGAGAATCCAGAGGCATGGGGACTTCTCCAGCGGTGCACCCACAAATATGTAACTTAAATATTTTCAAACTTAAAATATCTATGATTCTGGGTTGGAGAGCTAGGGCAGCAGGCAGGGCACTTGCCTTGCAGGCAGCCAAATGAGTTCAAGTTCCCTCTCACAGGTAAGAACCTTAAGGACATACTTTGAAATCGAATGTGATGAATTCACTCCTCTCTACATATCTTATCACTGGCTATTAAGCTCTATTAATCAAAGATATATAATTAGAAGTAGAAGATTAGCTTTCCTTGGGGAAAAAAACTCACAAAAGCTCTCTGTCATCTCCTGTTACATACAATGGGACACTCCATGATTGTTTAAAGAACAGAGACAGGAAGTCCTATATAGTCTCCAAATCTATTTCACATGACCCCAAACTTTTCCAGGGATAATTACTTTTCCTGGTGTTTAGCACTTTGTCAAGTTCTTCTCTCAATTTTGGTTTACCAAGCTGGGCAATCTCCTACTCCTATAGACTCAGAGATTTAAAAGACTGAGTAGATTTTAAAATCTACCAAGTTGGTTACTAGATTAGTCAACATTGATAGTTGACTAAAAGCTCAGGAGCATAAGTCACTGTACTAAGCATTCATTCTGTCCTTCATTTCATTTTATCCATATAAAAACATCACTACTTTACAGTTAAGAAAAATAAGGCATAAAAAGTTAATTTTCCCAGTAAGTGATGGATGGTGGGGCAGGAGCAATAGCACAGCGGGTAAGGCATTTGCCTTGCACGCAGGCGACCCGGGTTCGATTCCCAGCATTCCATATGGTTCCCTGAGTACCGCCAGGAGTGGTTCCGGAGTGCAAAGCCAGGAGTAACCCCTGAACATTGCCAGGTGACACCCCCCTCCAAAAAAATAAACAAGTGATGGAGTAGGATTTCTATACCCTGTCTATAGCAAATATCAATGCTTTTAAACCATTAATAAGACTTACTTTCTGGCTAATCAATGCTTCTTCAATTGTAAATATAGGTGCTGGAGAGAGATTACAGTGGGTGGGACACTTGCCTTGCACACAGCAGACCCACACATCCCCCAGTGTCCCCTGAGCCCTACCAGGAGTGAATCCCAAGTACAGAGTCAGGAGTAAGCCCTAAGAACTGCCAGGTTTGGCCTCCAAACAAACCAAAAAAAAAAAAAAACTAAATTGTTTTAATAAATAAACTTGTTGAGTTAAGTGTGTTGAATTTCCACTTAGGATTTTACGCGGTCCTTGTATTTTCCAAATACCATCAACCTGGGAGAGTCTATGTAGGAGAACCAGTCAAAGGCACAGGAGATGTCTTCCTTGGCTACCCTGGTGTGACAATGAAGGAGGTTGTGAATAAACTTCTGATTTTTCCTTATGTTAAGAACTTTAAGGACCAGAAAGATAGTTCGATGAGCTGCGTGCATGTTTTTTCATGTAGGAGGCCCAGGCTTGATCCCCAGCACTGTATGGTCCCTGTTCACAAAAGTGATATAAAATATAAACAATTTAAAAATATGTACACAGAGAGAGGAAGAGAAGGAGGGAGGGAGGGAGGGAGGAAGGGAAGGAGGGAGAGAGAGAAAGAACAAAGAAGGGGCAACAAGCTGAGAAAAGGTTTTGCAAAGGCATTGCACGTGTCGCTTGTAGGAGGCCTGGGTTTGATCCCAAGCACTGCACAGTCCCCAGGCATCACTGGTAGTGACCCCTGAGAGCACGGACCCAGGAGCCGACCCATCTCCTACCATCCCTGGGTGTGGCCCAAAACAAAAAGGGGGGGAGACAAAATGAGAACTATCAGAAGCAAATATCAAGCATGAAGAAAATTATCTTACTACCTTAGTCATACTACATTTACTAAAATGAACTTTAACACCTGGAACTTATGTTAAGTGTCTCTGTGTCTTTGACATAAGAAAACACTGATACAAGTAATATACTGAACTTGTCAACCTAGAACTCCAAATTTAACTTGATCAAGCTCTTCAAACAAGTTTTCATGAGCTCTACTGTTTCTGAGAAATCTTTCAAAAATTGAAATTTTTAAAATACAAATTATTAGTACCACAACAGTGCGTCTGAATAATTATCCCCAAAGCTATTTGATCAATGTCATTTCCCTCTTAGTAGAAACCCATTACAACCTACCTGGTGTGGTATAGGTTAGCGGGGTGCTCCACTCACTCCACACCCCTGGGCTGTCCAGCTTCTTGCACCTGACCTGCACCTCATATAAACACCCAGGGAACACGCTGTCCAACACCAAAGATGTAGCTGCGACAATTTCGTCAGCCTGTCAAAGATTATTTAGAAACATCAGAGCATCAAGTCACTGTGCAGCCTTGGCCAAAAACAAACCACGCAAAGGTCTCAATACACTTCAATAAAGAATTAAAATCTCATAGAGTGGTTGGCTGGCAGCAATGGAATCAAACAAGAAATCAATGTCCAACAAACGTTTACCCATGAAGCAATAAATAAGTTAAGTAGTCTGGAATTCCAGATCCAAATCACAATAAGCTTAAGCAGATTTTTAACTGAAGGAGAATGAAGATGGAGTTTCAAGACTCCAGGTATAAAGCTGAAGCAGGTGAGAGGTTTGGAGTCAATGCACTCACTCACATTGAGTGAGCAGAGGATAGAAACATATGCCAGGTGGCCAGAAAACTGAATATTTTATTAGAGCAACCATCCCAGGAGGACATGAATAGTCATAAAGAACCTGACCCTACTGATAACTATAACAAGTCAAAAGAGACAGTTTGACTAACGGGAAGAAAAACAGCTGAAAGACTTAACTGCACCACTAGCTAAGAGTTGTTTCATACGTCACTTCAGTTTTCCAACAGTACAGCCCAGAGTCATTGAACTCTTTGCTCAAACAGTTAAGTTTGGATTTTCAATAGCCAAACTCCTTGACTTGCATGATAGAGAGTAAACATTCAGCGTGTGGCAAGCAAAGGTAGAGCAGCCCTATGTGAAACCCTACCCTGTCCATAAGGTGGAAAACTTCAGAAGCCCAAACAAGTCTTTATTCTGCTTTTCTTTTTTCAGACATGACATTAAAGATTCCCACCTTGCTCTCGATGGAGCATAGGTCTTCCAAAACATTAGCTCAGATCTATACAGAAAGGTTCAACTCTCAGTTATATGAAAGTTTTATCAAGTGCCCAAAGTCATGACCTGGCACTTTAAGAGTGCCTTCTCAGTCCTTGGGAGCCTGTCACAAGTGTGTGGGGACAAAGAGCAGTTAGGACAGAGAAGGGACCAGTAGGGACAGTAACAGAAATTGATCACTCTGGACAAGAACTGAGTGTTGAAAGTAGGTAAGGGATATACATGATAACCTTCTAGTAGCTTTATTACAGAACATAATGCGAGAGAGAGAGAGAGAGAGAAAGAGAGAGAAGTACCTGCCATAGAGGCAGGTAAGAGGTCATGGGTGGTGGGAAATGAACATGTTTAAAGGGACTGATGTTGGAGACTCTGATTAAAACCCAATCAGGAACAACTTTATAACTGTGTATCTCACTATGATTCAATTAAACAGAAAGTCCCCCTTCCCCTCCCTTCACCTTTTTCACCTGCCCCATCCCTCCTCTGATTCATCTACCATTTCCCAGACCCCACTCTCATCCATCATTATCTTCTCTCCATCACTATCTGTACTCAGGAATTATTCCTGATGGTGCTCCATTTCTTTCTTTCTTTTTTTTTTTGCTTTTCTTGGGTCACACCTGGCGATGCACCTGGCTGTGCACTCAAGAATGACTCCTGGCGGTGCCCGGGGGACCATAGGGGATGCTGGGAATCGAACCTGGGTCGGCCGCGTGCAAGGCAAACGCCCTACCCGCTGTGCTAACACTCCAGCCCCGGTGCTCCATTTCTTAATGAAAGCCAAAAGCATGGTATTTAATAACTGACCTGTCTAGATGGAGCATTCACATTCACTATGCCAGAGACATTTTCTATGGCATGTGGAGGGGAGCTCACCTTTACCTGCTTCCCGACTATTCACCGACTCACTGAAATATACTCACTTTCCTTAGACCTTCTGTAGAATTCTCTGAATAGTTCACTTGATACAAAAGTTGAAATGGTACCGATGCTGGGCTGGACCAAGAAATCCTTAAATTGCCAGTGTCTGTAAATGCCATATGCAAACCCACCGGAGGATCGGGCTTCACTTTAGTGCAAAAAAAAAAAAAAGTTAAGACTTTTAAGTCAAGAAATATTCACCATAGTCATATGATCAAGTCAAATGTAATTTGAGCACCTCTTGTTCCTCTAACCACTTCAAAGGTGACCTTATTAAAGGCTAATCACAGAACCAAGATTTTAGGTTAAGTACCTGTACCAATCTATATATTTTCACTTCCTTATTTTTGGCAAAAAGAACGAATCAGTGCAGAATGAAGTTGCTCTAATAAATGTAAATTTCTGCAATAAAAAGACTGCTTTTAAAAAAAAAAGCCTGCTTAACTGGAATTTACCAACTAAGAAACTCCCACTCTTATGGGTAATAAGGAGGGAAAGCATTTTGTAGAGTCTACTAAGAAAATACGTGTAGACTTTTTGTTTTGTTTTTAGGCCACACCTGGCAATGCTCAGGACTTACTCCTGACTTTGCACTCAGGAAATTACTCCTGGTGGTTCTGAGGGACCATATGGGATGCTAGGGATCGAACCCAGGTCAGCCGCATGCAAGGCAAACACCCAATCCACTGTAGTATTTATTGCTCTGGCCCCAAATACATGTAGTTTTGCATGCCAAAATCCAGACAGATATACATCAAATTAATGAAAATAAACAATATTTTGAAATTTTATTTATTTTGAAATGCACCTGGAGCGATAGCACAGCGGGTAGGGCGTTCGCCTTACAAGCGGCCAACATGGCCGACCCGAGTTCGATTCCTTCGCCCCTCTCGGAGAGCCTGGCAAGCTACCGAGAGTATTGGATATGCCAGACACAGTAACAACAAAGTCTCCAATGGAGACGTTACTGGGCCCGCTCGAGCAAATCGACGATCAACGGGAGGGCCTTTACCTTACCTTTACCTTTGAAATGCACCAATACAGATAGACCTACTCAAATAATACAAGCATGCAAATTTTACATGCAAAAAAAAAAAAGCCCTGTCTTGTCACCAGAAGTGGAGATGAAATTTTGTAGGTAATAAATACAGTGTTTAACTTGGTAACCGATTTCTGAGTTCATATGACTATGAACTACTATGTGTATGCATGTGTTTATATTAATATGTGTATGTATTTTAAACACAGAACAGAATATTGACATTATTTGTAAATAAAACAATAGGAACATCTTACAATAAAAGGACTGATTGAATTAACAAGATTTCCTCCCTATTAAAGGAAGCCTATTTAGTTATTAAAAATCAAGGAGAACAAGTGTTGAATACTGAACAATATTGTTCAATATTGTTAGCTTCTAAATTTTATTAATCATGTACACTTCAAATCCTGAAATCCTGAAAAAATCGAGATAATGTATAAACATTTATTAGGTAAAGGTAAAGGTAAAGGCCCTCCCGTTGATCGTCGATTTGCTCGAGCGGGCCCAGTAACGTCTCCATTGGAGACTTTGTTGTTACTGTGTCTGGCATATTGAATACTCTCGGTAGCTTGCCGGGCTCTCCGAGAGGGGCGGAGGAATCGAACTCGGGTCGGCCATATTGGCCGCTTGTAAGGCAAACGCCCTACCCGCTGTGCTATCGCTCCAGCCCATAAACATTTATTAGAAGTGAGAAAATGCTAAAATGGAAGAAAATAGATGAGTCAGTTTTATTTTATATGCGTTTCTATTTTCAACATGTTTTCAATTAACAGGAATTACTCATGGATATAGAAGAAACAATGAACTGAAACATTTTCTGATTTTTATCTTTTTTGGGTGGGGCACTGTTTGAGCCATACCCAGAAGTGCTCAAGGAGTACTTCCGCCTCTGTGTTCAGGGATCAATCCTGGTGGGCTTGGAGTACTGAGGATTGAACCTGAGTCAGTCACATGCAAGGCAAATGCCCTATCCAATGTACTATCTCTCTGGCTCCCTGATTTTCATCTTTAAGAAACTGAATGATGGGGCTGGAGAGATACCCTCTGTAGAGGGTAAAGTGACTGACACCCAAGATATCTGTCAGACACTCTTCCCTGCTCATATATGCTTCCTTGATATTTCACGGGTTACTAATAACCATCTCAGCAAGGCATGCACATATCTGTAACTGCCCCAAACTTTAAATCTCAGTATCTGGATTTATCCTGAAAGTGCTCCATGGGGTTCCATTCTCCCTCAAAGCAGGACTGGTCAATGCAGGACAAGCTTGTAAAAGTCTATATGTTTATGTGCCTGATGCTTAAGTCAGTGTCGTCTTTATCAGAACTTACCAACTGTTTGGGGCTGAACTGACATTAGCGGTGACTGAAAAGTCACCCCGCCAGACCTGATTTTCAAATACATAAGAAGAGTGTCGTTGAGCTTGGCTGCTGGCAGAGGGATGCGGCATTCACAACCCTCCTGGCTGCTGACGCTGCATTCAACTCCATGAAAACTGCCTTTCTGGGAACTGAGCGGGACCTCGTCTTGCGCTTCCGGCCTATTCAGGAAAAAAGAGCAAAGGTTAATATGGATGCAAAAGTACTAGAAGGATTTGAATGCAGGACACAAGATACACATTTCGGCTATTGTGAACAACTGACTTCCAGAACTTTTGGAAGATAGGAGAGAGAGAGAGCGCGCATGAAAGGGAGAAAGAGAGTCAGAGAAAATCAGAGAGAGAGAGAGATACAGAAAGGGACGGAGAGAGACAGAGAGACAGTGAATCAGAGAAACAAAGAGAGTAAATCAATATTGCAGGTTGAAAAGGGAGAAAACTGTGATCCTAAAAACTTATACTCGATATTTCTCTTTCAGATGCAGAGGGCATACCAAAACAAAGAATTCATCATGATCCAACCTCATGACAGAAATTGTTTAAAGAAGTCCTGTAGGCAACAAAGAAAATGAGAGCAGAGAGAAGTTGGATTCTACACAACGAAATAAAATTTAACTAAAAGGGTCTGTACAAATTTATTATTCAAAGAATTAAAAATAGCCATGTAGTGTGGGGTTTATAACATGGATAACATCACCTCCCACCAATCCTGGGAAAGAGAAGGGGAGACAGGACTGTAAGCAGGTGTGGTGTTAGTATACTGCATATGAATGGGGCAATATAACTGGGAGGTATATTATCAGTTAAAATATAAGGGCTGGAGCGTTAGCACAGCAGGTAGGGTGTTTGCCTTGCCAGAAGTGCTCAAGGAGTCAAACCCAGTACTACTTCTCCCCAAAACACACACACACAAATGTTCTTTGCATTCTATTATGTGTTAAACAGGTATCTACCATATGATTTACACTTTATAAACCTGGGCTTTCATCCTAGGTAAAGGAAAACTTATGTCCTTGCAAGACTTATACGCAAGCAATTATTGGGGCTTATAAGAAGCTGCTTTAACAACTGGAAAGCAACTCTCTATCAGCAGGTAAATGGGTACACAGGCCCGCAAGATAGCATGCACTCCATGCCTCCTACCTTACAGCCCAACCAAGCTGGGCTTTTCAAAGAACTTTTTACTTGCAGTAGGGCATTTGCCTTGCACACGGCTGGCCCGACCGACCTGGGTTCAATTCCTCTGCCCCTCTCAGAGAGCCCAGCAAGCTACCAAGAGTATCTCGCCCACACGGCAAAGCCTGGCAAGCCACCCATGACGTATTCGATATGCCAAACACAGCAACAACAAGTCTCACAATGGAGACATTACTGGGCCCGCTCAAGCAACTCCATGAACAATGGGAGGACAGTACTACAGTTCTACTTTTTCTAGTATCTAGTATCAGCTTCTCCGCTCCAGCAAATCGATGAACAATGGGAGGACAGTGCTACAGTGCTATCTGTTTCCATGACTTCCTGTATTTATTACAACACAAAATTTCCAATTGTTCTCTCGTGTTCTGTCTTGGCTGTCAGCCTTCTGTGGAAAGGGCTGAGTCTGAGCCAGTTTCTATTATTACACACCCAGTGTCCTAAGAGAAGAATACCTCCTTCCTACAAGTAAGAGAAACTGTCTAAAAAGCAGTTTCAAAAAGAAGCACCCACTCCTTCAGGTTCTCTGACAAACATTAATACCTGAACGCAAATAATGTTCTTCTGGGAGAGTCATATTTCTAGGGCTCTCAGTCCCGTCTGGACATTCGATTTTTTTCCTTTAAATGTGTGATTATTTACACATGAAAGTATTTGAGATGTTTCTCTTGTGAATTCCCTAATGTTCATAAAATGGGATTGTGATTTAAAATTTTACTACCACTTCAGACTTTCTCTTCAATGGAGGTCTAGCCAGTTAATAATTCAAACTGGTCTTTTTTATACTTGCCCAGCTCTTCCTCCTCGTAAAAATCTTAGTTTGAGTTATTTGGGGAAACAGCTATGGGATGCTGGGAATCGAACTCAGGTCGGCAGACGCCCAACCCGCTGTGCTATTGCTCCAGCCCCCAAGCTCTTCTCTCTTAACCTCAAAACCACATCAACCTTCTACACTGTTTCCCACACTGGGGCTGAAACTACAAATTTCCTGGATTCTCTTTTATGTTTTTAAATTTTTGTTAAGGTTGGGATTCACGTTAACTGTTGATGATGATTTCGTGCATGCATTATTCCAACACCACACCCATCACTAGGGTACCCATGTCCCTTTACTAAAGGCCCCTCCAATTTTAACACCCCTGCTCCCAGGTAACTCAGTTCTGTAGACCAACTTTCTATTTCTGTTGCCTTTCACTACTTGTTACTCCCATACTGTGTATCTAAGTCCCACACAAGAGAGAGAAATCATCTATTCCTTTCCTACTAATAATAGACTTTTCTCAATAAGAATCCCTCTTGTTCCATCCGTGTAGCAGCATAGTACATGATTTTGTACTTTGTTACATCTCTGTAGTATTCCATTGTGGATACAGAACATAAATTTTTGATCCATTCATCTGTAGTTGGGCATTTGGGATTGTTTCCATACCTTGGTGACTGTACACTGCAATAAACATGGGTATGCATATATCTTTAAGAATTCATATTTTGAGGCCAGAGTGATAGTGCAGTGGGTAGGGCGTTTTCCTTGCATATATCCAACCCTAGTTGGTTCTCCAGCATTCCATATGTACCCCAAGCTAGCCAGGTGTAATTCCTGAGTATAGAGCCTAGAGTGACCCCCAAGCACTACCATATAGGGCCAAAAAAATTAAAATTTAATGTTGTTGAGTTTGGAGGGTGAATGTGAAAAAGTGGTATTGCTGGTCATATAAGAATTCTATTCTTTCTTTAGGCAGAGAGATGTACGTATTACTTTCCATAAAGGTTGAACATTTCCACCAACAGTGAATGAAACCTCCTGGATTCATACTAAATTCTACCTACAGCAGGGAGTGCTAAAAGGAGACTATCAGGCTAATGGAGGGAAAGGAATTTTGGATCCATCCTGTGTTTTGCTTTCCATTCTTGGAAGTATCACCCCAGCAAAGTTCTTCTCTGGAGTACCTGAAGTAAGTTCCTCTGACCAGCATTTCTTCCCACCTACATTTTCAGATCCAAATACAGCAACAAGCCTCCTTAAAGTCCACACTCCCCTCAGAATATATGCCCATTCGTATCTGCAGTGTCTTGTTACCGAAACAACTGGAGGTAAAGAAGAAAACCTACTGAAGAAGAAAGTGGCACTTAAAAATGTATAATATGGGTGCCGGAGCAATAGTACAGCGGGTGGGGCATTTGCCTTGCACGCAGCTGACCCAGGTTCAATCCCCGGCATCCCATATGGTCCTGCAGCACCGCCAGGAGTAATTCCTGAGTACAGAGCCAGGAATAACCCCTGAGCATTGCTGGGTGTGACCCAAAAAGAAAAAACAAAAAACATAAAATGTATAATATGTATACATTTTTAAATGCCACTTATAAATGGGCACATAATATGTACGTGTGAATATATATGTATATATATATGTTCTCGGAAATGTATATAAATCTACTTAAAAACATAGGGACAGGAGAGTTTTATAATCCACTTCTGTATACGGACACTCTTGCTTTAAAAAGCAATGTGTCACTGAAATGTCCACATTCATTTATCTGGTACTTACAGAAAATATAAAAGATGGACTTCAAGGTCATGATTCTTGAAAGAATTCTTAAATAATGGATCCATAGAACAGATGAATAAGTTCAAGTCCTCTTTCATCCAGCACTCTATGTTCCAGTTTGCACCTAAATGAAAAATAAACCACACTGAATCTGAACATCATCCTGGGCTGCCCAGTGAAAGAGAAGGACAAATTAAATTTACCAATGTTCCAATATAACCTTCATTTCCCAGTCTAGAGAGAAAACGTAAGCCCTAACTTGTGGTATGTGCTTGCTCTAGTGATTCAGTCCCTTTGGCTCTCAGTCTGCTTTTTATGAAGTAAAGGAATTGAGTTCGATGACTGCTCCTCAGTTCTTTTGAAAAAAAATCTGGAACCATTTTTGTTATAAAAGATGACAAGTTGCTCCTACGTCAATTCTAGCTCATTTTCCCAGAGCAAGAGAATATTAAATATGAAGGTATAAGCAAAATGGAGGTAGTGTTTCTGCATCTGGACTAGCAAATGAGAGAAGAGTGAATGACATGAGTCACATCTGAGGATGATGCAATGTCTCAAGTTCTTCATATTGTAACCTAGCAACCAATCCTCAAATGATGGTGCAATTCTGCTCCACTGAACACCGAAATACTTGATAATGATAAGCTATAGGTGATGTTTCTTTTTAAAATTTTTAAAGTTTAGTTTTAGCGTTGGAGCGATAGCACAGCGGGTAGGGCGTTCGCCTTACAAGCGGCCAACATGGCCGACCCGAGTTCGATTCCTCCGCCCCTCTCGGAGAGCCCGGCAAGCTACCGAGAGTATTCGATATGCCAGACACAGTAACAACAAAGTCTCCAATGGAGACGTTACTGGGCCCGCTCGAGCAAATCGACGATCAACGGGAGGGCCTTTACCTTTACCTTTACCTAGTTTTAGCGTTTTGGGTCATACTCTTGTGTTCTTGGCTTATTCCTGACTCTGTGCTCAGGGATCATTTCCAGAAGTACTGTGTGGTTCTGGCGATTAAACCTTGGTCAGTCACATGCAAGGCAAGTGCCTTACCCATTATACTATCTCTCCAGCCCAATGTGATGTGCAATTTGAAAAATAAGAAGAGCAACAGATGAAAACACCAGGAACTTCTCCAAATCCTAAAGGATAGTTCTATCTGTAGGTCCTTTGCAACACTGTTGATTCCTGGAGGGGCGAATAACTTAACTTCCTTAGCAGAGTAACTAAAATCTTCAGTAACTACCACTTAACCAAGTAGATTTTAGTTATAAAAAATGTAATTCATTTAAAAAGTAGCTATTTATTAGCCTTTATCTGTGAGATGAAACTCTTCAACATCATAAACATTATTCTGGATAAGTAGAGAAATGATCAAAGTTTTTTTTTGATAATTTGAAGGTTCCTCAGAAGGAACCTTCTCAAGTTCATTCTACATTTAATAATCACCATGATGGCTAAATTAAGTCTCCTTACTAATTTAAACAAATTTAAATGTGCTCCATTAAAATTTGAGTGGAGATTCAATTGGAGATACTGGGAGTTAATAGTGCTAGCTTATTTTAAGGGCTGGAACAATAGCACAGCAGGTAGGGTTTATGCCTTGCACATGGCCGATCCGGGGTTCGATTCCTTCTCGAAGAGCCCAGCAAGCTACCAAGAGTATCCCGCCCACACAGCAGAGCCTGGCACGCTCGATATGCCAAAAACAGTAACAGCAAGTCTCACAATGGAGATGTTACTGGTGCCCGCTTGAGCAAATTGATGAACAATGGGAGGACAGTGCAACAGTGCTTCAGCTGATTTTAAAACTAGTCTTACTGTCTATGCTTTATTCTTATTTCTAAGGTAACATATATTCTAGGGTGTTTCTTTCATCTAATCACTGGGGTTAACAAACAGGGATTCTGCCCTCCTGAGGATATCTGGTATGGACTAGAGGTAATTTTTGGTTGAATTTTGGAGTGAGAGCTACTGTCACTTGGTGGGTAAGAATTCAGAGACACTACTATACTTCATCCAGTGCACAGAATATTCTCTCAATTACCAAAATTGTCTGGTTAAATGTCAATTTTAAAAAGGCTAAGAACATCTGGTTAACTCTACATAGAAGCGTTGTACTGACTTGGGACTTTGTTTTCACACTGAAGATCTTTGAGCTGCCAAGTGAGTTGGCTCAGCACTAGTCTTTCCAAAAGCCTACATAATTTTCTTATTTAGATTTCCAGTTGTAGACATAGTTCATTTAATTTAACTTAAACAATTAAAAACCCTTGACTCACACTATTGTCAAAGGGGAACTTCTTTGAACCAAGATGAGTATTCAAAAATATATTAAAATATAACTATTTCAATAATACTATTAGATATTTGCTATTTTATTTAGCAAAAATGTAGTGCTCTTTCTATTTTAAAGCAAGACTAGGAGGTTACAAGAAAAATAGAAGGTTACAGGAACTCTCTAAAGACAGAGTTCTCTTATTAATTATATTTTTCAATTTCATGGACTATAAAATAATATGGAACTTAAATTTTATCTATGAATGATAACTGGTAAATCCTAATTGTATAACTAAAATTATATGTAGATATATATTCAAATGCATCTTTTAAATACATATTTCCAAGAATGGAAACATTTGTTCAATGCAGTTTTTAAGTAAGCACTATCTTAAAACATCAAAATGCTTACCTATTTCTTGAAAAACTAGAGGATTTGTTGTTGAAACAGATGTCTTCCCTTCATTGCTGTCTGCATGCACTGAGCAATTTTTGTCTTCCTCATTTCCAAAGCAACAGTGGAAAGTTGTTTCTGATGACTTGTTAGGAAAGTAGGTGCCACTTGAATTCAATTTGGTTTCAACTATTTCCTCATACTCTCCATTCCAGTTTGAACTGTTCTCCGAGACTCCAGCAGGCAAACGGAAATCATGGCTTGTGTTGGATGGCATGCACAACAACTTGAATCTCTCGGGAGTGATTGGGTATATCACTTTAGATGCAGTGACCACATAGATCAACTCTGCTAGAACATTGAAACCGAAAATGAATCTTCATGGCAACTGTGTTCGAGACCTCTTATGATTCATAAAACTTTATCAGACCACATACCTTCAAAAAAACAACTGTGAAGCATTAGAATGGCACTAAATAAAAATTGGAGACCGTAAGAAACAATAAATGCTATTGCTGTTTTGATAGTCCCTTGTAGGATCTCTTTTTTTAAAATCTGTACCAAAATATTCAGATGGCTACAGTATGAGAGAAAACAGTATCCACAAGAAGTATTTACAAAAGAGAGCAATATCCGCAAGAGCGCCTTCAGCTTGTAGTAGCCAAAGAAAAGCGCACAGGTGACAATGCCAGATTAAAATGGCTTTAAAGAACGCCTAACTTTCTTTTTTTAATACAACATAAATGAGACTGAGTCTCAAAAATACTTTTTTCTGGAATGTAGTTTTTTTTTTTTAAAGCAAGTAAGAATAGTTCATTCCAAAGTCATCGGCCATGTTTGACTACTTCAAATAGATACCTATTGTGGTTCATGGAATTCACAAAATCTAAACCTCACAACAGCTGCAAAATTTAAACCCAAAATGTGTTCTTCCCTTTTCTGTCTCAGCAACCCAGATTTGGGGGTACGGGCACCGGGGGGTTGGGTGGGGGAAAGAACAGAGAAGGGGACAAAATACAAGACCTTAAAGGAACATTTACTAGTTTTTTTTTTTCTGGGGGAATATCCTGCGATGGAAGAAAAGATGAACTTATTTTAAATTTTGAAAAGCATTCTTCTAGTGGTACTCAAGGGAGAAATTTCCAAAGTATATCTCCTTATAAGTTACACTTGTCATTTCCTACTAGAAGCACTGAAAAGTAGGTAAAGGGATATACATGATAACATTTCAGTATCTGTATTGCAAACCATAATGCCGAAAAGGGGAGGAGGAGAGAGAGAGGGGGAGGATAGTTTAGGATGGCGAGAGAGAAATTGGGGATACTTTGTTTTAAATATTGCAACCTAGTAAGTTGCTACCTGACAGAGAGACTTTAAGTTGGACTATCATCTGATATAAATTCACATGATTAAATTTAAGTTTTCATTATTAAATACAATTTAAATATTTAAATTTTATATTTTGCTTCTACTTCCTGTGCATATATACACGTAATTTTCCTGTGATTTTACAGAAAACACAAATTTAAAAGCAAATGTCAGGCAGGGAAAAAGCGTATTTCAAAACAAATCCACTCTAAGGACTTATGACTAATGCTCCATGTCAGTCTGGCCAGATCCATGAGGTGGTCAAATATTTGTTTAAACATTATCCCAGGTGTTTCTATGAAGCTACTTCTGGATGAACTGAACCCTTGATCTGTTGACTGAATATGCAGATTGTACTCCCTGGTACAATCTGCGGGTACAAAGCGGGTGGCCCCTGTTCAATCCTTAGGAAGCTGAATAGAACCAAAAGACTGAGTTAGAAGGAACTTTTGCTGACTGTCATCAGTTTTTGCACTCAAACTGAACATCTGGTCTTCTTGGGTCTTAAGTCTGCCAACAGTCCATCTGGAACATGTTCTGGCAGCTTGCCTTGGGGCTCCCTTTTGCCAAATACCTATCAGCCTCCATAATCTGTAAACACTTCCTTGTAATAAACTGCTTTCTATGTAGATATAAATTCTAGTTGTTCGGTTTCTCTAGAGAACTCTGATTAATATTATGCTAAATATATATGATGTCTTAGGACATTTCTAAACCTCATGTCAGGTCAATAAATCTCAACAACAAAATGATCAACATACCATTGTTAGAAAATCATGGAAGAACTATAAATGGCCAATTAAACATGCTGAACCCCACATATGAATAAGTAGATGAGAGTGAAATGGCATCCCATATTTTATGTATCTAATAGGACAAAATTAAAATGATATGAATGATAATATGCATCTTTGGTACCTTAACCATGACAAAGATGCAATGGAATGACTTTCATATTCCCCCATTGGAATTACAGATGATATAAAGTTTATACATCAAATTTTGCATTCTAGTCAACAAAGAAATTTCTCTTTAGGAATTAACCAGGAGAAATTTTCCCAACTATATAAAGATTATGGACTTTGATAAAGAATATTTATTTATGACTGAAAAGGAAGGATCACTCAATGAGAAATTGATCAAATACAGTACTAATTTATGGCATAGTTACATACTTTATGTTATATAATCAATGAACAGATAAGTACCTTAGTAAATACTGACAAAAATTGACATAATATAAAAGCTAAGTGAAAAAGAGAAAAACAATATAGTGTATGTTGTAGAGCACTTCTATTTTGCAACTATAAATGTGAACAAGTTTGCGTGAGGGCAGGTGTGTGTGTGTGTGTGTGTGTGTGTGTATGTGGGTATGTGTATGTATGTATGTGTGTGTGTTATAGTGAGAGGATACACATCATATTATTTCTGAGAGATTGGCAATGATTTTTACTTTTACTCCTAAGGGGACAAAGAATAGCTTTCACTTTCTCTTATACTTTTGTTTGGTTTGCTTTTTTGTATCAAGAGCATGAAAATTCCAAACTGGAAATTAAGAATTCTATTAGCCAACTGAAAGAAGTCCTGAATCTCTTAAAGGAATATCTCTAATTAGTATATGAGCATTCAAAAATATTAAAGAACTTACCCCAGAGTAACAGAGCCATAGGGAGTTTTAGATAAATCATCTTTCTTCAGGAAGTACACCTGAAAAACAGTAAATATAAAACAAATACAAAAAAAAATTTACATCTATACCAGCTATCTGTGAAAAATACACAAGGAAAAGGAGTAAAAATAAGGCTTTACGTTGAATTCTCTGTTATAATACTGATCAGTATAACACTGTTTAAAAAAATACAAGGAAAAGTAGTATAAAAAGTAAGTTTTACTTTGAATTATCTTTTCTACTGCTAATTAGAAGTATCCCACATTAAAGTTACCTATAAGTTAGAGATTTATTCCTGTGCACTTGTTTTTTGTATGGTTAAAATATAAACCACATATTCAATAACAAAAATGTTTTGTTTCTTCATGCCATGATAAAACTTGTCTAGGATAACACCAAATTTTTTTTTAATTTTATTTTCAAGGAGTTGTTCACAGTAATTGATCACATTCAATATTTCAACACCATTCAAACCAAATTTTTAATTTAAATAAAAGTGCTCGTAGGGGCTGGAGCAATAGCACAGTGGGTAGGGTGTTTGCCTTGCACACAGCCAACATGGCCAACACAGGTTCGATTCCCAACATCCCATATGGTCCCCCAAGCACCGCCAGGAGCAATTCCTGAGTGCATGAGCCAGGAGTAACCCCTGAGCATCGCTGGGTGTGACACAAAAAAAAAATAGTCTTCAAGGGGTAGATTTTATTCCAGTTAGTTGTTCCAAAGGTCAGGGATTGGCAGGGCGAGGGTAATAGGTCAAGAGATGACTTTTTATCACAGTAGGTTTCTGTACACAAGTGCAGAGATTACTTTCATGTAAAATTATTGTCTTGCCCCTTTAATGAAGCACGTATTATGGACATTCAGGGAAAGAAGCTACTAACAATGTCCTAGAGGTCAAAACAGTTCACAGAATTGAAATTTTAATGGGACTTCAAGAAATATAAATTAAGTCATGCTGTGTTTCTTCTATTTTTAAGATTCCCAATATTTTAACACTTCTGACGTCAAAATCTTGGTGAGAATCAATGTCATCTTACCCTTACCAATGGCGTGGGAACAGCTGAGATCTAGTTTTCACTGATTGCTTGCATACAAACCAGGGCGCCTTCCTAACGACAGACTGAACAATTTTAACCTATCAATAGTTCAACTAACAAACTATTTATGTAATGAGTATTTGGGAGAGAAATATGGACCCTGTGTACGGTCTGACACCTCTAAACAATTTTTAAAAGTAAACTAACCATTTCCTATAAAGTGGTCTAGCATAATGCTCCTGACAACTGAAAGAATGATGCTGTTCGAAAAAACAACATTGAAACTGTAGGGTTGAAAATTGATGTGAAAAAATATGAACATGAAATAGAATTCCATAACCAAGTTCTTGGATATCAGTTTTCTTTGTGAAATAGATATGATTCTAACAAAAATCTCCATCTAAATATTTCTCAAAGAGCATTTGTAGCAGACATTTGAAAAATCAAAATGATGAGGAAGCATGATTAATAGTTCACTAGACAGCTTTTCCTGTCTTAGCAGTATAAAATTGGTGTTTCTTAAAATTCATATGTAGATTTAAAGAATGTTTTATTACAGCACCTACAGCTATTGGGTGCGTTTTTTTTTACAGACTTACAAACTTTCATGATTGCGTTTGTCATATAATGATGGAGTACCCACCCCTCCACCAGTGCCCATTCTTCACCACCAATGTTCCCAGTATCCCTCCTGCCACCCCCAACCCATTCCTCCTTCTTCCTCCCCCCATTACCCCATCACTGTGGCTGGCACAATCTGTTTTACTCGGTCTCTCCTTTTGGATATTATGGTTTGCAATACAGGTACTAAGTGGCCATCATGTTTGGTCCATAGCCTACTTTAAGCATGCATCTCCCATCCCAAGCGAGCCCGCCAAGCATCATTTACTTAGTGGTTTGGGTGCTTATTATATGTGCATTTTCTGTTCATGCACTTGCCCTACATATACATACATGGGTATACATTTACACATGTTTTTATGAGTGATTTATTTGCTCTTTTTCTTCTAAACACTAGCCAGTTTAGTTTCAATGTTTTGCCTGTGCACATAGAAATCTAATTGTTTCATTAGCTCATGTTTACATATTTTCTCAATTTTCACAGGTTTAGACACCCAAATAACATCTGCTTGTTAAATTAAATGAGAAGATGTCATTCTGGGAAAAACAAAATTGCCCTATGCCTTGACAAAACAGATATTTGGTAACAGCTGTTCTTAAACATGATTTCACATTTCTAAAGCCTATTATAATGCTATTACAGAAGCTCCCAAGATTCTCTACTTGGCTCAAATCTTCAGCTATCATCTAGCGAAACAGATAAAACTCACACTATTCCATGAACGTCATTGCAATTACTGATCTAGGCATACAGCACGTCTATTTGTCTTTCTCCCGCATTCACTGCCATACACACAACACACACACACACAACACTAATGGGGAAAACCTATGAATAATATAATATTCTAAATTTAGAATAATGATGTATTATAATATATAGAATATAATATTCTAAATTCAGAATATTATATTGTTCATAGGTTTTCCCCATTAGTTAAAAAAAACATTTAAATTAATAATATTATTATGGTGCCCTGTAGGATAACATTGGTTTGTTCTTTCTGCCTTGCCACAGAGAGTTTAGGTTTACTGGTTTACATCACAGTGCTCCCATTCCTCTGTGTTTATTAGTAAACTCTGTGCTCTACTTCCCCAACCTGTCAATCACCTTTATCTCCTAATTAGACCCTGTTAACTTGCAAATACTGCTTTTCTCTTCTCCTCAGGTCCTTTGCCATAGTTAATTCAGAGCAATGTCCTTTTCATACAAACACAGGAAGACAATTACTGCTATGCTTTTGTAACTTGGGAGTTAATTGTGCCCCTTGTTGTTCTTTTAAAATATTTTGATGGGGCATTTTATAGGGGTCACTCCGATCAGATTTCAGCCTGGCACTAGACTGTGGGACTTGGACGGATTGTCCTGGAGAATGGGGGCACCAGGGCAATAACCAGTCACGTAGGGGCTTGGGGACGGTCCCCACTAAGAAGAGCCGGAGATGGAACTCAAGGCCTTGAACAGGAGGCATGTAATTTTCCACCTGAATTATCTCCTTGCAATGCCCCTTAAGACTGGGAGCAGCGTAACAGACAGGAGCACACGCTTCACATGCTGAAGGCCCAGGGTCAACCCCTCACACCACAGAGTCCCCCAAGCACTGTCATGAGCTTCCTGAACACAGAGCTGGGAAGTGGTCCCTAAGCACTACCGATTGTGGCCTATGCCAACCCACCCATACCCCCCAAAATATTGCCTTCTATTAGGTCACTGCAGTCATCAGAGTACTCTAGTTTGACTGGATGAGGTGTACAGCGTTAGCAAGGAGTTTTTAAAATAGTTTTCAAAAGACATGACTGTGCTGGGCCAGAATGATAGTACAGCTGGTAGGGTGCTTGTTTTGCACCCTGCCAACCTGGGTTCAATCCCCAGCACCCGCTAAGATCTTAAAAGATGACTCTCTCCCTAACCCCTCCTGCCCCGAGGTGATCCTTGAACATGTAATCAGAGAATAAAACTTGAGCCCGGCTTGGTGTTGCCTCCAAACTAAACAAAACCTGACTTTCCTCTAAGGTCACCCACAGTCGGTCAGGTAATGGCTCTATGCAGTGCTGGAGAGTCAGCTTTCCCTGGGACTCTCGCACCCTGACAAGTAGGGTCGATTCCATACAAATCTCCATGGCAAGGCAAACTCTCCCTGCTAACTACAGAAGGGCTGCCTTCTTCTGCAGGAAACTACTTGGTACCACAGATCTGTCTGAGCAGCAAGATTCAAGCCTCTGAATGTTTCAGAAGTGAATCTCTACTTTTCATTCAGCAAGAATCCATGTCTACCAAGACGTCATGAAGTCCATCTTAACCATCATGAGCATTCACAACTCGGCACATGATTTTAAACTTCCAGATTCATGGCCTTTAAACTTGACAATGATTCTTACTACATAATCAGCATTTCTGTGGCAAGTATTTTCACTAGCACTCACTAAAATTCATTGAACGCATTATAATGGCAATAATCATAGCATTAGACTTGCCATGTCAGCAATACGGATTCAGGAGTTACAAGAGTGGATCATTCAGGCTTTCATGTCCTCCCATTCATCGATTTGCTTGAGCGGGCCCAGTAACGTCTCCATTTTGAGACTTGTTGTTACTGTGTTTGGCATATTGAATATGTCACGGGTAGCTTGCCAGGCTTTGTCGTGTGGGCAAGATATTGAACCCCAGCTCGGCCAGGCTGGTTGCACGCAAGGCAAACGCCCTACTGCTATGCTATCGCTCCAGCCCAGGCTTTCATATTGAAATCAAAAGGATGTGCAAGGATAATCATAAGTTAGAACTATTTTTAAAAAGTTTTTTTTAAATTTAGATTGTAGATTTACAAATTTTTTTGCTTGGGTTTCGGGGGCCCGAGCAATAGTACAGCAGGTAGGGCACTTGTCTCTCAAGACAGTCAACCCAGCTTCAATATCCGGCATCACATATGGTACCCCAAGCCTGGTCAGAAGTGACCGCCTGGGCACAGAGCCAGAAGTAAGCCCTGAGCACCATTGGGTGTGGCCCCAAAACAAAAATAAAAAAATTGTGAGATAAATATTAATTTTAAACTACTATCCGCTACTAAAATCCTCCAAAGCAGAATAAATTTGAGAGCTAGTTCAAGAGTTCTGACTTCCACTTGGCTGAACTGGGTTTAATCCCTGGCACCCCATCTGGACCTGCCAGGAATGATCCCCAAGTACAGAGGCAGAAGGAAGTAAGAAGGAAGGAGGGAGAGAGAAAGGGAGGATAGATTCTGTTAAATGTCAAAAGTTTTACATATTTTATTTTAGGGAGGGTCACACCCAGTGGTACTCAAGGGATATTCCTGGCTCAGTGCTCAGGAATTACCCCTGGCAGTAGCTGAGGGACAACATGTGTTGCTGAGTATTTGAAA